AGCTTTATTTAGTTTATGTAATTGCTTTAACTTTTTTGAGCTCTTTTTTTATCCCCTCACTCTACCATATTGGCTTGGCTTTGCTAGTAGTGGCTGGGAATTGATGCCCAAAAATAATACTCCATCCGTCCTATAATGATCTTCCCAGAGTACTATTCCAACTTTACGGGAATTTATATTTATTTGTGTTTTTTCTGTTGGGAATAAACGCACGCGGAAACAACACACAATCACGAATCAACTGCAGAAAAATAAATGACACAGGATTTAACGTGGTTCGGCCGCCAACTGCAACCTACGTCCACACGGGGCAACTAGGAGGATTTTATTATTTGTTGTTGCACCACAATTACAAGCACATTAGCATCTCTTAAATAGAGAATAATTAGGAGAGCACAATGATTAGGGAAGTTAGAAGCTTCTAGGTAGTTTCCTGCCAATTTCCTGTTAGTTTCCACCTAGCTTCCTGGCTTCACACTCAACAATCTCCCACTTGAAGCCACGGAACAATGTTCACCTGCGCTTCAACTGTGCACATGTACTTCTGTAATCTGACAATGGAACACAAAATTCCACCACCTCTAGTTGCCACCAGCCTTCTTGATCATCGAGAAGACTCTATTGAAACTCTCTTGAGTTTCAACCCATCAGTCATGGCTTGAACTGCCCCTGACTCGTCCTCGGTCCCTACCGGCTCCCACTGCACACACGCACTGCCGGATCCTGGAACATCCTGAGAACAAACAATCTCCATACTGAGCAAGAAATTTTCTAGAGATGTTTCAACAACTGGAATACTGGTTCTCCGGACCCAATGTCTTATAGGAACCTTGGCTGAAGCAAAACCTGTGCTCCCACTGCCATAGATACCTTTGACTGGTCTCATTGAACCTTTCCTCGCTCGTTCATCCTGAGTCTGACCTGTGGCTCTGGGTTTCTTTCTTGCACAGAAAACCTTCTTCTGCCCACGAGACTCTATGAACCGGACTTTGTTTCTCTTCTGAACTGGGACGGTCACTCCCTCAGACGGTAACCCGACCATGTACAACGACCCACTCTTCCTTCCGCGGGCCATGACAAGATTTCCCTTCACGACCTTCCACTGCCCATTTCCGAACTTCACCTCGTGTCCCTGTTCGTCCAACTGCCTAACAGAAATCAAACTTTTCTTCAAGCCTGGAACCACTCTGACATCCTTCAAAGTCCAGAAACCGACAGGGGTCTTCAGCACTATGTCACCCATGCCCGTCACATCAAGAGCTCCGTCGTCTGCTAGTCGTACCTTTCCAAAGTCCCCAACAACTAGATTCTGCAATGCTTCACTGCTGTGGGTAGCATGAAATGAAGCACCAGAGTCCATGACCCAGGAATCTACACTGCTCTCCGCACAACAAATAAACAAATCCTCGTCGCTCGCGGAGCCTCTAGCAATTTTCACTTGCTTATCCTCTTTCGGGCACTGATTCCTGAAATGCCCCACCTCCTTGCACTTCCAGCATGTTACGCCTGAGCTATCCCGAGTCTTTGATCGACTCCTTCGTCCGTTCTTGCTCCCACTACCTCTGTTATTTCCTCTACCTCTGACGATATTTAGTGATTCTTCCGAAGACTCACCAGAACTCCTTCTTCTGACATCTTCGTCAAGAACGAGGTCACGAATCTTCTCAAAAGTGAATCCGTCAGGTCCGAACTGGTAACTGCTGTAACAGTTCCGGACCAAGTGTCAGGCAATGACGATAACAGTAGTAAAGCTTGAACTTCATCATCGAACTTAATACCCACTAACAAAAGTCTGGCTAAGATCGAATTCAACTTGTTGATATGCTCGGTAACTGAAGTGCCATTTTTCATCCTTGTGTTCACCAGCTCTCTTATCAGAAAAACTTTGTTCGCTGCAGATGGCTTCTCGTACATGTTAGACAGCGCGTCCATAATTTCCTTCGCTGTCTTCTCCTTCAGAATGTTGAACGCAACATTCTTGGTCAACGAGAGACGGATCACGGACATTGCTTTCCGATCCAAAACTACCCAATCTGCATCCGACATTTTTTCTGGCTTGTCACCCAAAACCACGTCCAAATCTTTCTGAACCAGCAAATCTTCAATTTGCATTCTCCACCAATTGAAATCTGTACCATCGAACTTCTCAATTCGGAACTTCTCATCTTCTGCCATATCAAACGACTAGACAAGATACCCGGTACAACTAATTTCAGATCTTGGTATTTTTGTCAGAAAAATCAGGCCCACCACACCAATTAAGTTAGCCACAACAAATCAGCCCAATATCCACCTTTAGAAAAATTACGGCCCAAACCAAAACAAGCCTAAAACACCAAAAAACTCCACCAACTGCCTAAAAAAAATGAGTGACCAATTAAAACAAATTGGCCCACCTTTTTTTCTTTTCTTCGCACCTGCCCCCAAAAATTTCAGCTCCTTGGATCGGAGGCTTCAATTGGTCAAGCAGGAGAAGATGGCAGCGGTCTCTGCGCGGCGGCAATGGACGGCGGCAGCTCTCTACCCGCTGCTGCTCCGGTGTTCTACGGCGAAGCTGTGCGCAGGTTACACGACTGCGGCGGCGGCTCCTCAACGTGGCCTGACTGCACGCGGACGGCGGATTGGCGGTGGGTTCGGTTCTGCACTAGACGATGACGGCGGCGCTACGAAGGGACGCTGCGGCGGCTCGCAGACGATGGCGAACACCTGCACAGCTCTCCCCCTTCTCGAACAGGCGGCGTAGATCTGGGCAGCGCGGCCTGCTGCTCGCGAAGCCCTACCCAACGACTGCGGCGGTCGACGGGAGACCAAGGCTGCGCGACGACGGCAGCGAGGCAACCCCAAGGCTGCGGCTCTCTCCCCTGCTGCGCGACTCACTCCGGCGCGGCCCTCACAACGGCGACTGTTCACAGATCCCAAAACCTAGGTGACAACTCACAATTTGTGCTCTCGTGTTGTAGAATCAGGCTCCGATACCACTTGTTGGGAATAAACGCACGCGGAAACAACACACAATCACGAATCAACTGCAGAAAAATAAATGACACAGGATTTAACGTGGTTCGGCCGCCAACTGCAACCTACGTCCACACGGGGCAACTAGGAGGATTTTATTATTTGTTGTTGCACCACAATTACAAGCACATTAGCATCTCTTAAATAGAGAATAATTAGGAGAGCACAATGATTAGGGAAGTTAGAAGCTTCTAGGTAGTTTCCTGCCAATTTCCTGTTAGTTTCCACCTAGCTTCCTGGCTTCACACTCAACATATGATTTGTGTTTTTTATATTTATTTGTGTTTTTTCATGGCCTATATGATAAAATAAAATATTCTTGTCACCACNAAACGCACGCGGAAACAACACACAATCACGAATCAACTGCAGAAAAATAAATGACACAGGATTTAACGTGGTTCGGCCGCCAACTGCAACCTACGTCCACACGGGGCAACTAGGAGGATTTTATTATTTGTTGTTGCACCACAATTACAAGCACATTAGCATCTCTTAAATAGAGAATAATTAGGAGAGCACAATGATTAGGGAAGTTAGAAGCTTCTAGGTAGTTTCCTGCCAATTTCCTGTTAGTTTCCACCTAGCTTCCTGGCTTCACACTCAACATATGATTTGTGTTTTTTATATTTATTTGTGTTTTTTCATGGCCTATATGATAAAATAAAATATTCTTGTCACCACTTGTTTTGTTGAACTTTTGATATAGTTTTTAAATATGTATGTTTTATTTTTTATTTTTATACTAATATTCAAATAAAATAAATTGAAAAAACTTAGGATTTTTCTTCGTTTTGCGAACCGGGAAGAACATTATAATTATAGGACGGAGGTAGTAATAATGATAAGGGGCTCTTATCCCTGCAGGCAGAAAGAAAAGCTTCACTTTATTTGTTGGGCCTTACTGCTTTAGGAAATAATATGCTCAATTAAAGCTTTGTGTGTGGACTGGTGGGTATAAATGTGATGCCCAACACCACTTTAGTAGTATGTGTTTGGGAAGTCATTGGTTATATTGGGTCATCAATTAAGTAAATATTATACTCCGTATTACTCCATTCGTCCTAAATTATAATGCATGTTTACTATTTACATGGTCAAACCTCATTTACTTTCTTTCTTTATTTTCGTTAGCAATTTGATAAAATAAAATATTATTGTCACTATTAGTATTGTAGATCTTTTGATGTAGTTTTTTAATATGTAATTTTTATTTTTTAATTCTATACCATTTGTCATATAAAATGGTTTGAAAATAATTTCAGTCAAACATCACTGAAACATGCATTATAAAATGGTACGGAGGTAGTACATTACATTATAGCACAAAAATTATTTTAATTGGTTAGATTTACAACATTGGTTTACACAAAAATTTTAATAGTTTATATTGACACAAAATGCTAGCACGTTAAAAAAAAATTGAACTAATATTTTGTGTTTGTGTGAACTTATCACTCTAACATTACACTAACATAAAATGAAGGTGCAAACTTATAGCGTACAAATTGGAGTACAAACATTGGGGTACTAATAGCTTAATCCAATCATATTCCACCGCCACCGTGGCGTATTGGTTTCTATCATTTTTCTTAAGATGATATTCTTACTAATTTATTAATAGAATAATTGTAAAATATATGGGATTTCAAACCCTTTTATTAAAGAATGTCTCTCATTTTCGAGAGTCCCTTAAATCCATCCAAACGGTCTCTCGAAAGAAGTAAATTAGATTTTAAACACAGATTGGTGACAGGAAGTGAACTCTATGCTTAACATAGTTGTCTTCCAGCGTAATTGTCAAAAATCAAGCTCAGTTTACCAGCATAACTGGTAACAACACTTTGTAAAAAAAGGATGATCCCCATCCCTCAGGATCCTCTCATATCCAACCGGACGGTCACTGAGAGGAGATAAATTGGATTTTAATAGGGCCTCTGCAAGTATCATAGTTGCGCTGGGAGCCAATTATGCTAGGCATAGCGCCTCTGCAAGTACTGGGTACATGCTCCATTCTTTATGACTAATCTGCGATTAAAATTCAGTTTACGTCTTTTCAGTGGCCGTCCGATCGAGTGTGAGGGGCCCCGAGGGCCCGGGATGGGGCTCATCCTCTGGGGGGAGTTTGTTTCGTGCTCCTGCAGGCCCTGCCAAAATTGGGGTCTACTGTTCTCTTTTCCCCAATTTCATACACTTTTTCAGACTCACGCATCTCTTGCTCCATTTTTTAGAGTACTCCCTCTGTCCAAAATCAAACTTTACATTACGCTTTACGATATTTGACTGAAATTATTTTTAAATCATTTTATATGAAAAATGGTGTAAAATTAAAAAATAAGAATTACATATTAAAAAACTATATCAAAAGATCTACAAAATTAGAGGTGACATTACTATATTATTTTATCAAATGGGTGACGAAAATAGGCTAACAAAGTGAATAAAGTTTGACCCTATGAATAGTGAATGTAAAGTTTATTTGTGAACGTAGGGAGTATTATTTTTTAACTTTTCTTTATTCTAAAAAAATAAGTTATACCACAATTCCAGAGTTTCTTAATACTTGGCTGAAAATAATTGAATTACTTCCTCTGTAAATTGTATATTTAGAATTATCATGTTTGACTGAAGTTATTTTCAATATAATTTATTAGAAAATTAGAGCGGAAGTATAGAATAAATAGAAAATTAAAGAATAATATTTTCAATATAGTTATTTTCCACACAGAGTACAATCTATTAAAGAATAATATTTTCAATATAATTTATTAGAAAATATTAAAGAATAAAAATTTCAATATAGTTATTTTCCATACAAAGTACAATCTATTAGAAAATTTGATGAAAGTATAACTTTTCATGTAATTTTTTTAATTAGTTCATTTAAAAGCAATGTAGTATTCATTTTCACATATTTGTTCATTACAATTATAATATTTATTTGTGACTAACTTAGTATTTATTCTGAAACAACGTAGTATGCATTTCAAACCTGTTCAGTGCAGTGTTTATTCTCACGTAATGTTCATTTTTAAACAACATAGTACTCATATTTATACAATGTTCATTCTTAAAAGAAAATATTGCAAATTTTCGAAGATGTATGATACATCTACCTTGCTTGCCATATAATTTGCTCATGTTGTCACCATTTCCCCTCCATTGTCATTTCCATTATTGGCTATTGTTTTCAGTCATATATTGCACTTTGGGACTGTTTGTTTCAGTCTCTTAATGGTTCAGATGTCTGAATGATTCAGCACTTAATGGTTCAGACTGTTTGTTTCAGCCTCTTAATGGTTCAGATGTCTGAATGGTTAAGAGATTTGCCTCTGAATGGTTAAGTATTATACAGAGTCTGAATGGTTAAGAGTTCTTATCTGAATTGATCAGACATTTGCCTCTGAATAGTTAAACAATATACTAGCTCTTAATGGTTCAGACCTCTTACTGGTTCAGCACTTAATGGTTCAGACCTCTTACTGGTTCAGTACTTACCTATTCAGAAGTTACCAAACAGCCCCTTAGACTACTTACCATGTTATTGTTGATATCAATAAAATAAAATTTTATTCATTTGCCTGTTTTGCTTGATTATTTTATAAATAAAATATTTTTGTCAGTTTTTGTTTTGTAGAATTTTTGAATTAATTTTTAAATATGTAAGTTTAATTTTTAATTTCTATACTATTCTTTAAATAAAATGATCGAATTTAAAAAACTTAAAAATTTACTTCGTTTTGGGTAAAATTTAAAATATTTAGAGACGAAAGAAGTATAACCCTTATTGCATGCGAGAGGTGTGTAGCGCCTCAAAACATACCTTAAAATTTAATAAAAAATTTGTATTGAATCGTATTTTTAATTTTCATATAAATTAAATAAAATTGAAACAATAATATTAAAAATAATTAAGGAATTTCAAATTAAGGTTTGTTTTGAATGTAAGGAATTTGATTCAAATCTAAATTCAAAATGTTTAAGTTTCCCAAACATAAAATTTAAACCAAATTTGGATTTGAAATCCAAATTCATGTACCTAAACATACTATAAATAAAAATAAAAGAATAAAAGAATTTTCTAAATGTGAGACTTTTTTCTTCTTCTTGCCCACTAGTGTTCATACTTTGCCGTGTGAGACTTTTTCTTCTTTGCCGCGACGAAAACCAGAGGATTCCCCGGAGTTCTTCAGCGACTACTTTGGCGATTTCTGTCTGTGAGTCGTGGTTTCATATATCTTTTTTTTCATTAGGATTAATTCGTGCATCAGTATTAGTCTATTTATATTATTGCCAATTGACGATTGAATTAGCAAATATGATTATTGAATTGTTGTGATTGATTGTGTTTTGGGATGAGAATTTGAGTCTGGAATTGGATGGTGAATACGGGTCGGACTTGTTCGATGTATTGATGATCTGAACTTTGGATTCGATATATTGATGATCTGAACGGGATTTTATGTTTTCTGATCAGAGGAACTATATAATTTTAGTTTTCTTATTGAATATGCAACTATGCAGCTTTTATTTAATTGATGATCAAAGTTTGTCTATAAATACTATTTGTGATGGAGGTATTAGTAGTAGTCTATGAAACATATATACTATTTACAAGTATGTTAATGATTTTCTGAAATTTTACTTTTTTTTGCAGCTACTTTGTATCTTGCAATGGGTGACACACGAAACCGATACGAACATAGAGATGTGGAAAGTAAAAAACTTGATAAAGGGATTGGAAGCTGCTTGAGGCAATGGAACCAGCATGATCTCTCTGATCATTCCTCCGCGCGACCAAATTTCCCGGGTTACCAAGATGCTTGGAGATGAGTATGGAACTGCATCAAACATCAAAAGCAGAGTGAACCGCCAATCTGTTCTGGGCGCGATTACTTGTGCTCGGCAGCGGCTAAAACTCTACAACAAAGTCCCTCCAAACGGTCTGGTCATCTACACTGGAACTATTGTTACAGATGACGGGAAGGAGAAAAAAGTCACATTTGACTTTGAACCTTTCAAACCTATAAACGCTTCTCTGTACCTTTGTGACAACAGGTTTCACACGGAAGCTCTCAAAGAACTTTTGGAATCTAATGACAAGTTTGGGTTCATTGTCATGGACGGTAATGGAACCCTTTTTGGGACATTGTGTGGCAACACTAGGGAGATTCTTCACAAGTTTGGAGTTGACCTTCCTAAGAAACACGGGAGAGGAGGTCAATCAGCTCTTCGTTTTGCACGACTGAGAACGGAAAAGCGTCACAACTATGTGAGAAAGACGGCTGAACTTGCCACCCAATTCTTCATTAATCCTTCAACCAGTCAACCAAACGTTTCTGGACTCGTACTCGCCGGATCTGCTGACTTCAAGACTGAGCTTAGTCAGACTGATATGTTTGATATGCGCCTCAAAGCTAAAATCCTAAACATCGCGGATGTTTCTTATGGTGGGGAGAGTGGTTTCAACCAGGCAATTGAGCTGTCTTCTGAAGTATTGTCCAACGTGAAGTTTATTCAAGAAAAGAAACTGATAGGCAAATACTTTGAGGAGATCAGTCAGGACACAGGTAAGTATGTGGTTGGCGTGGAGGATACGTTGAAAGCACTGGAGATGGGTGCTATTGAGACCCTTATTGTATGGGAAGATTTGGAAGTCATGAGATATGTTCTAAAGAACAGCACAACAGGAGAAATAATCATAAAACATCTCAACAAGGCACAAGACACAGATCAGAGTAACTTCCGCGATTCGGAAACCAATGCTGATTTGGAGGTTCAAGATAAGATGGCTTTGTTGGAGTGGTTTGCTTACGAGTATAAGCGGTTTGGTTGCTCGTTGGAATTTGTTTCCAATAAATCACAAGAAGGGTCTCAGTTTTGCAGAGGGTTTGGTGGCATTGGGGGCATATTACGCTATCAGCTTGATCTTCGAGTTTTTGATGAGTTGGCTGATGATGGTGGAATTTATGAGGACTCGGATTAGCAATTAGTGGATCACTACACTGCCGGTGCAGGGATGAAGGAGCGGGGATCCTGCACCGCTGCGCGAGGGCTCGCCCCGTTCTAAACCCACTCGTGCATTTACACGAAACATTTCTTGAAGCTGCCAAGGTAAATTAGTTTCCTCTTTTATTTACCTGTCTATCTATTATTGTAAGTAACTTTCTCTGTCCCTAATACTATGTTTGGATCAAGGAATTAGGAAGGAAAAGAAAAGAAAATGATTTTCTCTCATTTTCCTCATCAATATGGCGGGAATTTTGTTTTTACTTCTTTTATTTCATTTTGCCTAAATATGAACTACCCTTTTTTGCTGACAACCCACACTTACAATTGTGCCCCATGTGCTTATGCTTAGAAATGCCGAAGAAGTGGTTTGAAGTATTTGGAGTGAAGAGATGCCGGGGCTTTCTTCCTAATCTAGTACGAGGGCATTTTGGGCACACAATAAACTTCTCATTCCCATTTCTCTCCTAAAGCGCATCTATTCGGATTCTGGTATAGCGCAGCTCTACATACGCATATTTACATATAAATACAATAATAAGTACGTTTTCGGTGTTGGAGGAGTAGAAGGTTTCTGCTCATCTAATGACACCTGAGAATGTACCTAATAATGATATTGATATATATATATATATATATATATATATATATATATATATATATATATATATATATATATATATATATATATAGACTCTTCAAGTGTGTCACTACTATATATGCATTACTACTAGAACCAGTTAAGTTTTACAGTAATAATAATGGTTTCATAGAACCATGAGAATGGATCATGTCGAATTGCTTTTATTAAACTGGTTGCTTAATTTCATATCTCTAGTTGTTTCAATTGCCCTGTCTTTATAATGTATGTTTGTTCGTTCTATTTACAATATCTTTGTTTCTTAAATGTTTTTTTTGTTTGCACCCATGTTTACCTGGTATACACCAACGTATAAGAGTCCACTAAATTTTGATGCGTCATTTTGATTTGGTGTATTGAGATCAAACCAATTTTTATTGTTAGGATTTTTTTTCGGATAAATTCCACCCATGGTATACAAACTTTCATTATTATTTCACTTCGGTATATAAACTTTAATTCCTATCACAAAAGTACACGAACTTTCAGCATTCTTTCACTGGTGGTCCAATAGGCGGTTTCTAGATCACATACCTTCAAGTCATTTGAGGTCAAATTATAATTTTATAAATTTAAGTGACCCCCTTCCCTCCCTTTTCTCTATTCCTCTTTCCCAATCAGCCCCCACACTCCCATTTTTTTCATTCTTTCTTCTTCTTTCTTTCTTTCTCCTCCACCACCCATTGTTCCAGTTTCTCCACCTCCACCGCCAGTTTTTGCCCCGTTTCTCCTCCACCACTGCCTTCTCCACCCCCTCTACCACCACCTTCACTTTCTTCCCCTCCTCCTCCTCAACCTTCTATCCCTCCTCCATCACCCCTTCCACCATACATAAATTTACTACATTTCCCAAAACTTCACAAATTTAATAACTATATATATTAATACTCCGATCCGTAATACTAGTTTCGTTGTACTAATAATACGTATATATAACTATAATAATTTTTTTGAAAACATAATTATAGTAATTATTAATATTACACATTATTGTTACTATTAATATCCCTGTAATGTTATTATTAATGTAACGATGGTTACCCTTTCGGACTGATTGTGATTTGTGAGTAGCAGCAGCCCTGCTCCTTTTTGTTGAATCTGACGATTTTCCATCTTTCTTCTCATCCATTTCATTATCCCTCTATATTAATATAAAACAATTTTAAGAAATTAAAATAATAATAATAATATTAATAAGAAATAATAATAATTAATATTGCTGACGTGATAGCAATAATAATAATAATAATAATTACAATATCAATAATAATAAAAGAAGGAAAAAATGGGAGGGAGGGAGTGGGGGGGAGGGGGCTGGTTGGGAAAGACTAAAGAGGAAGAGAGAAAAGGGATGAAAGGGGGGGTCAAAATAAAAAATTTAAATTTATAAAATTATAATTTGACCCCAAATGACCTGAAGGTGACCTAAACCGCCTATTCGACCACCGGTGAAAGAATATTGAAAGTTCATGTACTTTTGTGATAGGAATTAAAATTTATATACCGAAGTGAAAGAATAATGAAAGTTCGTATCCCATGAGAGAAATTTACCTAATTTTTTTCGGTACAATATTTGATTATTTGTGATTAATGATTCTTTTAGTTCCATTTTTAATTTGATTTTAAAAAACATTTGCCTCATTCTGGGATTAAGATTAAGGGGCTGTTTGTTTCAGCCTCTTAATGGTTCAGATGTCTGAATGATTCAGCACTTAATGGTTCAGACTGTTTGTTTCAGCCTCTTAATGGTTCAGATGTCTGAATGGTTAAGAGATTTGCCTCTGAATGGTTAAGTATTATACAGAGTCTGAATGGTTAAGAGCTCTTATCTGAATTGATCAGATATTTGCCTCTGAATAGTTAAACAATATACTAGCTCTTAATGGTTCAGACCTCTTACTGGTTCAGCACTTAATGGTTCAGACCTCTTACTGGTTCAGCACTTACCCATTCAGAAGTTACCAAACAGCCCCTAAATGCTTACCCGGCTCTGAATGAATGTATTCTTATTTATATCGTCCCAAAATTTTAAGCAAGTGTTTTTCGCGTTATAAAAAAATTCTCTAGGATCTTTTGAAATCCACTTTGAATGTCACAATATAACACATTCTAGAGTGTTTCATAAACTAATAAAAGCTGTTTATATATTATTTCCAACTTATTAATCAACTGATAACGTGTTTCTATGTACTTATAAAAGTGACTAATACACTCTTTGCTTATTTAAATGTAAAAAGAGTGTCTTACCCACTTATTTCTAATTAAGTTAGTTTTTTCGTTTCTTTGATTTGACCAAATTATTTTAAAAAATACGAGTATCTTTCACCATTTATAGATATCTCTAAATGATTTATCTATCATTTAAGTCATTTTATTTTTACAAAAAATATTTAATTTATAAACAATTTTTAAATTAGAAATTACTCCCCACCTTACCCGTCCGTCTTTGCATTTTGCCAAAATGTTACTCCCTCCGTCCTGTTTTAAATCGTCTGTTTTGACTTTGGAGCATATTTAAGAAAGAGAAAAAATAGAGTTAACTTTCTGAAATTGCCATTATTTTTAGGAGTGACGATGAATGAGAAGATAAAGTAGAGAAGAGTGACTTATTTTAGGAATAGTCTAAGTATTTTACTCTTAAAAATTTATGATAACAAGAAACAGACAACTTATTTTGGGACGGAGAAAAAAGCAAAACAGACAATTTAAAATAGGGCAGGGAGATGGCACTATTTGAACAAAATACAATAAAAAAAATTCAAAATATCACTCAAACCCGATGCTAGCAGAACATCATAGGACTTCAGATGAATCGGTGTTACTCCGTATATTATATCACAAAGAAGAAAGAACTAGTGTCAAATGAATCAAACGTGATAAATTAAAACGGGGAAAATAAAAAAATATAAAGTTCAAATTAATTTGCAATATATGAGTACCCATTAGGGATTTATAAATCTTTTACTAAAAAGAGAGGCATCGGTTCCCATTTTCGTACTCTATATTAAACAATACTTTTCTCTAAAATATTAGGTGTAAAGTACTTGTGTTACTTGTTAATCTAAACACTTCGTAACATCTCTCCGAATCAACTACTACAATTCTATCTTTTTCTAAATTAATTTTAATCAAACATTTTTCAATATTCATTAAACATCTTTTCACTTTTTAATATTTTTCATAAATTTTGTAATTTATCTTTTTGGGGGCCAAAAATTTGTCGCAAAAATGAATTCCCCATACACCAACACAAATGCACATAAACTCTTAACATATGTTACACAAGCATTTCAAAATGGCAATGAATAATTGAAGATGGAAGATTGAACATTTCCATTGAAAAAAAGTACTGTAAAACAAACTGGAGTAATTAAATGGCTACATTTGTCCAAAATCCAAAAATGGGTACAACAGTTGTTTATTCTCTAAACTCTATACTTTCCAGAATTATTGGAATTATTATTAGTACACTATTACAATATGAATGAATCTCCAAACCTGTGAAGTGGGAGCGTTATTGCACAATGGCTCCCCGCCCAGCTTTGGTCTCTTACAACCAAACAAATTTCTGGTTTTCTTTGGGATTACAAATATGTGTTCTTACATGACGCCGCCGCTGCCGCCATATGCACCACCCTTCTCCGCCAGCCTTTCGGCGTGCTGTTCTAAATATTCCCTGCTGTTCATCTCTGTCAGCCTGCAACCACACGCCCCCCGTTCATCAGAACAATTCAACGGTTGATGTTGTTTCGATCCTATGGGTATAATTGGACTTGACCCAAATGTATATAGTGAATTACGCCTAATATATACCTACTAATGGTACGATCTTTTGCAAAGCCAAGCTCGTTATCGACGCAAAGGTCAATATCGTCCTTCTTGATTGACCTTGAAGACCTCGGAGCAATTTGATTCGCATCGGCTATGGTCACGATTCTCTCAAAAAGTTCTGCAGGGGAGCCCTCGGCTGTACACAACAACCGTGCTTTATTTTCATAGAGCACCTGTAAAGCATGAAACATTAGTTGTGAACTACACACACACACACTCCCATCGTTCAGCTGAAATTTGCAACCTTTAGTGTGATTTACACACAAAAGGTTGGCAAATTCCACCACGGCGAAGGGAGTATATATGGTCAAACAGATATGGTGTATGACATATCGTGCGTCTTTTAAAATTCCACTTTTAGTCACATGATTATAATAAGTTCACACACACACACACATTGAATTTTTGAAGTAATTATAGAAGAGAAACAAACTAACATCAACCAAGGTAACGAACCGATATGCTGCAGTCCTATTGTGAAGCCCGAAAATGGGGACTCCGTCCATTGCCACCGTATGAAAGTTTTCTGTATAGAAGTGAAAAATATCAATGTGGATGAGGAAAGAAGACAAACGTGGGATTAAACTACTTACTGCATAACCCAAGATAGTCTGCGGCTCCAAGAGGTCTATCACAGAGTTCATCAAAAGGGAAATATGCACATCCATTGCCACCCAATGGCACCTGAAAGATCATTGCAGATTATGCACAATTTTTTAAAATAATACGGAGTAAATGATGATTTCTTATTAAAATCCTTCGCAAATTTAAAGGGAAAGATTCTTTTTTTTTTCTGAGAGCAAAACCTGCAATTTCCTTCCCATAACAACTTCCACCTCTTGTGGAACGGCATCGTGCTGACCGACCAGCATTTGAAATTTTTGCATGATAAGGTCTGTCAAATCCTTTCCAATGAAATAGGAACCTTCTTCTGCCTATATAATTTTATTTAAATAAACATTGGAAAACATTATATAGTTCTTGAAAAATAAATATGATAATAACTCCAAATCTAAAATTTACCGAAGTCATTTTGCGATAATCCACCGATGAACCAATTTCATGTGCTACACATTTTTCCTACATGAGCCAATTAGAAACAACTTCGAAAAAAATAATGAAATATCAAAACAATTGACCTCCAAACGCGAGTTTTCTGTTGCTTGGAAAATGGGCAAAAAACAAATCACTGAAAAGTGGCTGGCCACCTTTAAAGTAGCAATAAATGGCAGGAAAAGATCCCTCTGCAATCCACCTTCATAAAGATTATCCGGAGCACGATTTGAAGTAGAAACAAGAATCTGTGGTTGTTTTAAAGCAACAGTTTAAACAAAAGAAAACAAACAACGCAGTATTTAGCATAGAATTCCATTTTATCTTCACTTGAAAATTGAAATTTAAGAACGAGGAGTGATTGGATATACTAACAGCTCCATTACTAAACAAATGACCAAATAATCGGTTCAGAATCAATGCATCAGCAACATCAGTCACCTGCAGATAGCATAAACATAAATTTTCTTATAGGCATTCCAAAGAAAGATATCAAACTCATCTTATCAAAAAAATGCAATCGTAAATTAATTAATAGCATACCATAAATTCATCAAGACATAACAGGATCGCTTCATCGCAGATCTCCCCAGCAACAACTTCAAGGGGATCAGCCACACCTTTGTGCTTCTGTTAATCCTCAACATCAAATGTGGCATAAATTCATCACCAGAACAAATATTATACAATATGGTAAATCATAAATCTTGGAAGGAAAAAAATTAAACCCGGATTTCATACTTGCAATCTACTGTGGACGTTCAACATGAAGTCGTGAAAATGAGTTCTCTTCTTTCTCCATTGGCAAGGCCTGAGAAAAAGCAACTTCATATATTTCTTCAACAGAAGACAAGAACAAAACATGATATGCATGCAGTTAAATAAGGTAAATTATAAGGGTGCTTACAACCGATCAAAAAACAAGTCCATTAGCATAGTCTTCCCGGTTCCAACTCCTCCATAGAGGTACAACCCTTTCACGGGTGCATAACTCGACTGTGGAATAAAGCGAGACCACAACCATCTACTCCTAAAAAACAATCCCAAAACAAAGTGTCAAAGCGTGACTAGAAGAAAATTCTAGGAAAAAAAGGTTAACACTATGTAGAACTATGAGTTTCCAGCCCAAAACCAATTGGCTATGGGAGGAGTAACTCTTTTTAGCATGGGTGTTCGGTGTAGGATTATATCCTCAACACACTAAACCCAATAAGTACCTTCCAGCTTTGTCAGAAGCAGCATATCGGTCCAACCGGCAATCTACAGCTTTCTCATTCAGTTCATCGTAGAGTCTCTGAAGTTCTTGCAATGTGCCTACCTACAAAGGGCCATCAGAATAATCTTTCAAGAAGAAAAACAAAAATACCGCCAGGCGTATAGATGATTCATATGAACTGCTTATATTATCCTGCATCTTTATCATGATGTTCAGAATAAAAAAGAAAAAACTTATCTTGGTAATTAATACTAAGAGTCCGTTTGGAACCTGTAAATGACTAAGATATTTAATCACGTGTAAGAAGTTAAGAACTTCATTATCCTTTGGACTCGTCAAGGTAAATCCAAACACTTGGGAAACAAAAACTTCCCTTAACATTAGTTTTTCCTCGCTAACATTTTATGGGGATCCAAACATACCCTAAGGGTCTTCACCCTAGGCCAAATAAAACATATATCTAAAGCTCATATAGTTTAGCACTCTTGCCATATTTTAACAACTAAACTGATTTTTCTAAAGGAAAATAAAAGGAAATATTCTTGAACTAGGTTTCCATTTTCCAGTAATTCCTATTCTAGAAAATTCAGGGTTTTCCCTTAAAATAATACATGCAAGAAGTAAATTAAACCAGATATAACACAGTAGCAACATTTGATGTACCTGGCAAGCATCCCCATCAAAAAGGTCACCAGAGGCAATTCTTCTTTCGTATTCTACAAGAGGCCCTCCTCTGTTCCCTTCTGCAATTCAATGAATTGGATGTGGAAAAAACATATATGAGATAAATACACTCAGAAATTATCATCTTGCAACAAATAGGATAAGATAAATCCCATGATGTCACCTTTACTTGCAACTCCAGCAGCATTAGTTATCATATATCTGAGTATCAAAGAAGATGGATTCTTGCAGATACTAATATCAGCAATACTAGAACTAGGGAGTTTGTACAGTGACCGGCTTCTAGAATCAATCCGACCATTCCGTTGAGCCACAAAACAAGCATTCCTAAATTGTCTTACCGATCGCAAAATCGCCCGCATTTTATTCAACACTCCTACAAAATCCAATTCTTTAAAAAAGGGATTTTTTTTTAAATTTTTTGCTTCTTCAATAGCCTATAAAGAAAACCCAAAGTTTCTTCAAGAAAAGCTATGCCCACTCCTAAGAAACCAAAAAAATTGAGCTTCTACCAATACCCATCACTCACAGAAATTCAATCTGCATAACACTATCAAACGAGCTAATCTTGAAATTCAGCCAAGAACAGGTTGAAATACATGGGAAAAGGAACATCACAACAACAATAAATTCAATTAACTTAGCATATAGAAACAAACCCAGCATTTAATAAATTTTCTTTTTCGGTAAATCCCTTCAATTCCGGGTCAATGAACATTAATAAATCCCACTTAATTGTAAAACACATTAATATAATCTGATAATTTGTACGTGGAGTAAATAAATTTCAAGAACCCATCTTTAAAAATGGAAGAGGTACCTGATTAATTAGCTGAATGGGCAAAATCCAATTGATCTCCCGAGAGTCAATTCCAATACACGAGTAAAATCTTTTCCACTGTCTGTAGGACTTCTTATGATAACGAATAAAAAAAGATTTTTATTCAGAAAAAAAGAAGGGGAAAAGAAGATAACGTGCGGACCAAAATCCAGAAAAAGACTGTTTTACTGTTTCCATGAGATGGATTTTTGCTTTTTCTTGGAATTATAATGGGAAGAGGGAAGAAAAGTTTGGGTGGGTGGGCGGCCGCGGCGAGCCGAACCGCGGGGCGGTTGGTTTTAATTTCACTTCGACCCCAAAAGATTTGGTGATATCATTTCGACCCCATCTAGTGTATTTTACGGAGTATATGTACGGATCATTTCTTCTTTATTGGTTCATAAATTTCCTTTTTATTTTCTTTTACTTGTATAAAATCTATTAGTTGAACGTCATTTATGCCAATTTGTTAAATGAGAAGTAACAAATCCAAATTCTAACCAAAACATCTACTTTCTATATTTCAATAGACAAAAACATTTGCAGTGGCATGACTGTGTCACTGTCACGCCTGCCACATAAGCAAAGTCCCTAAATTGCCTCGCGTGGATGAAGAGATTTGTTATGCTTGGCAAGTCATGGGCGAGACAACTATTCTTTGAATTCTTTTTTTTCTCCATAAAATAAAAGATTTTTAAAAAGTAGAAGTATGTTTTGGAAAAAACTAAGTAAATTTATTTTTAATACTCTGTAGTAAAAATAAGAAAAATGTAAAATTTGAAAAAAACCTAAATCTTTTATTTTTTTCGTTTATTTTTTTTAAATAAGAAATATTTTTAAAAAGAGTATAGTTTATAACAATATAAACAAAATAAATTTAAATAATTTAAATAATTTTGAAATATTTTTATTTTTTTATTTGAAAAAAATATAAATAAAATAAATTTAAATAATTAAAATGTGTAAAAAAGGTAAAATTGATAAAAACAATGACTTGCCACTGCATGACATGCCACTCCACTCTCATGTCACACGTTGAATGAACTTTTTTTTATTGGTTGAAACTTTCCATGTCATCTTGTGTCATTTTATATCTTACTTGCCATTGTGAATGCTCTAAAAATATATATTCCAAGGTTATAAAGTTAATGATACTCAAAAAAATTATTTTACTCATACTCAATTGATCAGGATTACCCCACCCCAACCCCGCCTTAGGAACACCTTTGGTCAAAAAAATTATTTTACTCAAACTCAATCAATAACTTTGAAGTTATCTTTGTAAGTATTTGATTGCCTTTACCAAAATGCAAGCCAGGTTTTTTTTACTTGTAAGAGCGTCTTTGATAAAATGATACTTTGAATTCCACATTAAAGTTCCTCAAGTTGTAATTTCATTAAGAGATAAGTCGTTGATACAGAGTATATATTTTTTTGGTGTTTTATCTATCTCACCTGGGACATTTCGAGTCCCATTAATTGTAATACCAATGATTGTTTAAATTAAGTTTGCAATGTTAGGGTTTGAAGGGATAGGTATCTGTCACTCTGTGCCCATTGAGTTTTACAACCTACTCTCTCTCTTTCTTAAAAGACTTAATTTTTCACTAATAATTTACCTATCACATCTTACTTTTACCCATCACATTAAAAACAAAATTGAAAAATCAACCATACACATATATACATTCCTTATTTTGGCTAAAAGTCAAAATAGAAATGGTTTATTGAAACGGGGGACTTAATCCTAAATGATCAAGAAAAATGTGGAATCAAGACATGATCAAGTATGTCCCCCATGGAGTTTTAGTTTAATAAATGATCAAGAAAAATGTGCGAGGAAAGAAGGTATAACTCAATTTTTGAAATTGGTAGCTGAAATAAGTATATAAGAGGACAAGACATTATTGAAGCTTGTGACTCACAAAACATTTCTCAACATTAATTAAGACAAAAAAGGAAGTCATAAATTCAATCTTTATCATTCAAATATCATCATCCCCCAAGTATAATCCTTAGAAAACATGTTTGATCATTGTACTACACACAAGTGATAATGATGTTGGATCTTAGCATAAACAAGAACAAAGGCAATGAGATACGGGCAATATAGTGAACGCAAAAATGGGAACGAAACCGTTTTTAGGAGAATTTGGAATGAGCGTCCGGCTCAATGACAGGCAAAAGAGAGAGATTTACTCTTCCATGCGGTTATCTTGGGACTGTTGTGAGACCTTGACCTTGATGGGCAAAGTGAGAGAAGCATCTTGTCGGAGAGCGCTGGGTGCTTTGATCATGTGGATGCTCTGCTCAAGTTCCTTTGCTGCTTCTTTGTTTTTCATTGCTTTCTTGGATCTAAATCTGAAGCGCGATTTCAAGTAACATATCATATAATTTTGTTTTAAAAAAACGAATCAAGAACAAGATGCAGATATAGATAAACTGACAGAGAGAGGAAAAAAACCTGTTTTTGTGGTGTCGAGCCTCCCTGGTGTCCCTGACTTTAATAATTGTCTTGATGGCCTTCAAAGTGTTCTCTGTTACATTCTTGTCATATCTCTCGGGCCTGTTTCGCTTCTTCTCAAACTCAAAGGTTGAGTCCTGCCGGTTTGAATATTACAATTTACAAGCAAAAAGAAAGAAAAGGTTAGGTATTATCACTGACATAACATTTTCCATCACCTTCCTATGGAGACAAAGATTCAATATTTTTTTGGCTTTGAGGTATGTTGGAGTAAAGCAAAAAGGTTCTTTTAATTGTTTACGCTTCTTTTAATAGTAAAGTAGCAGTTAGTCAATGCAACTTTTGATGCTCATTGTGATTTGTGAGTGATCAAATATATAGTCTCTCTATGTTTTTAAGTGTAGGGATCAGGTTGCCTACATCCCACCCCCTACCCCACGATGGGTAGGGATAATGCTATTGTTGTTGTATCAGTAACATAACAGAAAAAAAGGAAGAGTTTTTGAGAAATGTGGAAATGCTGCCTGCCTGTGTCATGTCCTTTCCATGTAACCGTCTATAGGCCTTAGTCCACTTGACCTTTCGTGGATTCCTCTTCATCTTAAAGTTCTTATGACATTTAGATCTGCAGAACCTAAAAATCTGCAGATGAAGGAACCCATGGAATTTAATTAGCTAAGTTGAACATAACCAAAACAAACACCCATCCAGTCATCGATATAATCATATCAAAAACATATCATTCAACTTTACAGAATACTACATGTATGCTTCTTAACCACAAACCTAATCAATCAGTCAATCACATATTCACATACAACAAAGCCTTATCCCACTAGGTGGGGTCGGCTATTCACATATTCACATGCATCCAAAAAATAATTCTCAGAGCCAAAACCAATGGTAAAAGATAAACAAAACAATATTGAAGAGAAAAACTACGTGCATAACAAAATTGTCTCTCATTATAAACAAGCCATCAGTAGAAGTAACTTATTCATTTATACTTCTAAGATAGAAAACCTAAATTTTTAAATTGTTGTTGATACAAACCTGATATTTCTTTCAAAGGCCAACCATCCATAAGGCCACTACATAGCTTGACATGTGAATATACGTAGTACACTAGTAGAAACTTACGCAATGTATACAAATAAGCAGGAAGTAGTGAATTCCTTTGATACGGACATTAGACTCAAAACAAGGAGCATATTACACAAACCACTTACTGCTTGGCTCTACACGAATGCTACTCATAGATGAAACTTAACATTTAAAACCACTCTTTAAAAAAGGTTCTTGAAACAGGGTATCTTTGGACTGCATGATTAAAAAAATATAGTGGTAATTGATAATTCATGTAGTGTCGAGGCTGACATGAGTCACGACTATCTTTTTTAGGTTTTTTGCAACACTGTACACTCAAGGCACATTTAGGTATTTTGCAACAATGTACACTCACTATCACACACTAAACAATTTGTATCTATTGAGAATATACAGATACGTCAACAAACATATGCATTTCATCTGAATCGGCAACTTGGAAGCACTACTTAGCCTGATATATAAATACCATGTCTTTAAAATTTAAAGATTGCACTATACACTACTAAGCAATAGGTAATGAATTATGTGAATCCACATCAAAGGCGACTAATTTGCAGTATGTGAATCATACTAAAGGACTGAATTTGCAAGCATGTATGTAACGAAATCCAGTGAAACATTATTCCCTTTTAATATTTATGCAAGTGGTATAAAAAGAAAATGATTGAAACTATCCTACCTTAGCATCATTCCGAACATACTGAATACCATGCCCCGGGTATATAGTGGATGAGCAAAACCAACACTTCTCCAACCTCATTATGCCTTCTTTGCTGCAAAACCATTGAAGATGCATTAGGGGAAACAAAAGACTCGTCTTAAACGAAACCATTAAAAAGTTGAAGCTACTTTATGGAGGAACTTCCAAAAGAATAGAATTCAAAGCCTCACTCTATCTACATACAGAAATACACTTTGACTTGCCAATTTTCCATCAAAATAGCTCACGAAGAGTAACAAGACAAGAAAAAATAACAAAAAAATTGTTGATCCTCTCTGGGAAGGGGCAGTTATATGCTTTTCCATTGAAGGACAAACCATCGCTTAGCTAAAATATCTCTCAACTTCATTCAAAATTTTGCAATGCTTTTTTAGTTTTTTGTTGTTTCCATTGAAACGTACAGCAAGAACTCAGGAAGCTACATGATTTCATGGAGATCGGAACCAGAAGTACCTGTTGATAAGGCTGATCGTTGGGGATGAATCGGGGAAGAAGACGAGCGTAGAAGAAGAGACGCCAGGGGTGGGGGAGCGGCGCCACTTTTGGCTGGAAAAGCCCGGAGCCGAAGTGAGGAAGAAGCAATTCTTGGATGCCCTTATCCACGAACTGTGTTGGGCTTGCGTCCAGATGCAGAACATTAATTATGGTAACCGGCCCAATATATTAATCAAGGAAACCTTTAAAATACGCTATCCGGCCGGCCCAAAGGGGGGGAAAAAGCATTTGGATAAATTTTTAACATCCATTATTGACATAGAAAAACATAGAAAAAACGATTACAAAAACTACTTTTTAATAGAATTTCGAAAGGGTAATTTTTTTTTGAACGTAAATACATTTCTTTCATTAACAACCCCAGTACCCCACTATTTGAAAGATTACATCATTTATAAGCTTAGCAGCATACTATTTGCATCTATACAGAGAGTAATTTTTGAAATAAAAACTTGCATTCTTCACAGCCGACTCCAAAGTGTAAGTTTTCTGGTGGATCTTCGCATTTCTGATCTTCCAAGTTTGATAGCAGTCGTTAGCCCAAATAGCATCCAGCAGGTTCCTCTGCCTTTTGTTCTTTGTATTCTTCATGTGTGTGTATACATCCTCATACCCCGGTCCTTCCAGCTTAAGTCCGAATCTGGACAGAAATTGCAGTCTTAGTTCCTTGGGTATTTTGCATTCCCACATGAGGTGCTTGATGGTCTCAAATTCTTCTTCGCATATACCACACTTGTCTTCGATGTCCATGAAATTTTTGAGTTCAGATCTTGTTTTGAGTCTCCCTTTACAGATCATCCACATTATGAATTGGTGTTTAGGGTGGGCAGGTTTGCACCAAACCCATTTCACCCAATCTGGCCTGTCTTTGTTTCCCATGAGCCACTCATACCCTTTATGGATAAGAAATGGTGTATTATTGTTCATGCCATCAAAATCCTTTCTCACACTGAGCATCATTTTCCAATAGAATGGGCTATCATTTCTTGGTTGGAAACCCCATAAGTTCTCATCCTTAATGTACCTAGAGTGAACCCATTTAATCCATAAAACATCTTTTTTGTTAGCGACATCCCAATTTTATTTCATAATACAAGCCTGGTTCCATTTGAGGACGTTTTTAATGCCCAAACCACCATGTCTGACAGGTGTGCAAGTCTCATTCCAACTGATGGGTGGTGCCTTTTGTAGTCAGTAAATCCTTCCCAAAGGAAGTTCCTACAAACATTCTGGATTTTATAAATAACATCTTTGGGAATGAGATAAATTCTGGACCAGAAATTCATGATTCCAAATAGGACCGAGTTTATAAGTTGTATCATCCTGGAAGAAGCTCAAGACAGCCTCCGTGAAAAGCTCCCCTATGGTATCCCATTGTTTTTTGAAGAATCCGCTGTTGAAACCATCAGGTCCCGAGCTTTTGTGATTATGGATACTAAAAAGCATTTTCTTGACTAACTTTTTGTCAAAGGTTTGACCAGTTCCATTTGTTGGGACAGATTCAGCACATTCCCCACTTGAATAATGTTGGTATCTGGGCTGCCCATTTCTTGACAAGTACCCAACAGCTCCTGAAAATACTTAATCATAGATTCAACAGTTTCAGCATTTGTGCTAGTAGTGTTTCCCTCAGAATCTTTGATAGTAGAAATGTGGTTCGTAATTCTTCTCTTCTTGATCCATGCATGGTAGAATCTACTATTTTGGTCACCTTCATTCACCCATTTTTGTTTAATCTGCTATTTATTCAAAAGGAACAAGGCTTTAGAAATTGAGTTGAATTCCCTGGCAATGGCTTTCTCCTCCATTCTGTCCAGGCTTGTGCTACCTCCTTCCAATTGGTTTGAAAGGGTAATTTATTTAAATAGTACTAAAACATAGTGACTTTCTTAATGTAGTACAATATATTTTTATTTTTTAATGTAGTGTCACAGTTCAATGTTCATTGGCCATTGTTCAAATAATATCCACCGACACTACACATTATTCAAACTAAATGCCACCATCACTGGTTATCGTTCTCGCTACCAGACATTATTCAAGTATTATTTAGGAAAATAGATATTTTTAATACTATTTAAAGTAAATTTTACTTTTCAAAATACTCGATCTACACCCTGAGGTTAATGTCAAACATAGTCAAAGTTTTTTTCTTTGAAAAGAATAACTTTATTCTTGTTACGATCGTATTTAGTACAAGTATTATTATTATAGAAAAATGTGCCAAATAAATTGGAAGTGTTAGATGTAATTAAATTGTCCAATAAATTTAAAGAGGAAGTGTAGAGTTACACCATTGCAAATGGTGCAACTCCATGACACTATTTCAATTGCGGAGGCTGTTCATAAAATTGACGGTTTCTACCATCATAAACCCCCACTCCCAACCTTGCTCCATCACGACCACCCTAGCCTCTGCAATTGAAACATATTAGTTTCTTTGACATTTGGGTCAAAATTTTGACCAAAAAAGTCAACAAAACTTATGAAGTGCAATTGCGGGGGCTATAAGAGTCGTGAGGGAGCAAAGCCGGGGTAGGTATTTATGAGGGCAGTTAAGAGAGTAAGAATAGTCAATTTTACGAACGGAGCACTTTTGGTGTCCCAATTGAAATGGTGTCACAGAATTATTCTATATGAGATGGTGTAATAGTACACTTCCTCAAATTAAAAATATATAACTGCTCTGTATATTTTGTTGCTATTTTTAATTCTAGTTGTATGCTACTAATACTGTTTGGTACTTTACTACCTCGGGTCAATTATAAAAAGACATCTTATAAAACGGTTGGGTTCTACAGCCACAGAATTTTAGTGGCTTCCGAAGCCACTGAAATTCAATGGCTGTAGAACCCAACCGCTTATAAAATGACATTTTGTAACTTGTGTGTCTATTGTGTCTGATACACTTTATTTTGACACCATAAGAAAATCTATAGTAATATTTAAACTTCAAATCTTAAAAATCTTAAAAGTTTAGGGTGTGTATTTAATTAAGAGTCTCTATGATTGTTTTGTATTGTACTTTAAAAATCTACCAATAATTGATGTTGGAACAATCAATGAATTTCTAGAATCTAAATAAGAATATACAGAGTATACTAAAAATTCATTAAAATCTATTCAAACTCGTTTAGAATTAAAATATTTCGCAATAAAAGAATTTTACATAATTCATGAACTAACATATGTTTGGAAAATGCGCCTCTAATTGAAATCAATGTAATTGCATGCACACTATTTCATTTCTCTCAAAATAAGATTCTTATTTGATTTTTCACTATCTTCAATACAACATTTTGACTTAAACTGTAAAAGAAATTTCTACACTTAAAACATCAAATCTGAATTTTTAGTATAAGTGACATTTTTTAGTTTAATTGACCATCTTAGTTTAATTCCCTACTGTCTTACCCATACAATTTTAATATTTTTAGAACTATATGAAAAAAGCACCCACACAATATATATATCGTCTCTAATGACAAGCCTCCATCCATTTTTTTCTAACCATCTTCATCACTATAATTATTATCATCATCTTACATAGTGGGACTTATCATTTACTACATTTAACAAGCTTGATTACTTGTACTTATATAATTGATGTAAATAAGAAATGGAGTAATAATTGAAAGTGTGCATAATAATTATGGATCCTAATACTTAAATAATTAATTAACAGGCAGCAGTAGCAGTTAATCCCTCAACCAGCTTGCTCAGTTTCTTGGTCCTTAACCTCTCTCCATAAACCTCACCACTTTGGCATTTGTACCTGCACCCAATTAAAATCAAATCACTCCTCATTAAAATTTACCATTATCACGTTAAAAGATTGAATCCGTTTGATTACGGGAGAAATGGAGTACCTTTCAGGAGCAGGTAAGGGTATCAAGGGGCTCAAGATTTGGGCAAGTCTAAGGGCATCTTCCTCGCGAGTAACGGTCCTGTCGAAGCAGAAGTACCTCCCGCTGGTGGACGCGTCCTCAAAGGCCCGGACGTGAACGTCCGCGAGAAACCCGACGTGAACAAATGCCAAAAGCCCGCTCTCGTACATCTCCGCTGCGCCTTGGAGGTACGACAGCGTGGGGACGGGGTTCAGTTGGGCCACGCTCGGCCCAATAACCAGGCCCGCGTTGATGGACACCATGTCCACCACCATTCTGTCCATTGCTAGTGCCCATGCTGCCTGCTCACACTTTGTCTTTGCAAGGGCATACCATAGCTGCACACAAATTGTAATTAAACTCATTAAAAATATTTAGGATTATATATAGTACTCCCTCCGTCCCCAAATAAACTTCCCTTTTCGTTTTTTCTTTGTCCCCAAAAAAACTTTTCTTTTTCCTTAAAAACCACTTTTACCCCTTACTTTTTCATACCATACCTATCACATCATACCTTTTTACTAATAATCTACCCATCACATCTTACTTTTATCCATCACATCAAGGGTATTTTTGGAAAGTAAACACCAAAATATCCCTCCCTTAATTTCCCAAAAAGTCAATAGGGGAAGTTTATTTGGGGACGGAGGTAGTATATATTTATGATTAAAAAAATGAGATTTGAAAATTAAAATAAATATTATTTCACAAAGAAAAGAAAAGAAAAGAAAGAATATTTGGTTTGGGGGCATATCAGACATACTTTGTTTTGAGTGCAGAAGAGTGTGTTGCTCCAAGAGGATTCATCCACATCCTTGAGAGAGGAGGAGGTGTTGTCAGTCCAAATGGCTGCTGTCAAAGATGATGTGAACACCACTTTGTGTATTGTCTCACTTTGTGCACATGCCTCCATCACATTTATTATTCCTCTAACCTCCAAATCCCCAACCACTTCCTACCAAGTTTCAAACCCCCCACACACACTTATTATACAGTACAAAATACCATAAAGATTCAATTTTTCTAATGAGAATGCCAAACAACAACAAACCCAGTAAAATCCCACAAAAAAATAGGGTATGGTGAAGTGTGTGTACCGAATGTCATGATGAAAACTAAGATCTTACCGAGTATATGACCTTAGATAGGAACGTTTGGAGATTTCTGGGTATTTTTGGCAATTCACAAAGAATATAATCTTTTTTTTTTGTTTTGAAAAAATGAACAGTTAGTTCTTGACCTGAAGATGAACAAAAGAAGATGACTTACATCATAGCCATCTGGATTCTCCAGAGAAAGAAAAAGGCCAGAGCATCCTCTAAGGGCTTCAACAATGCTTCTGTAACTCAACACATCCACACTGTATATCACCAGTCTCTCTTTCACTCTTCTCTGCAGTTCTTTGATTTTCTTCATTATCTCTTTCTCTCCTTCAAATAAAATGAAAAAAAAGAATCCCATTTATAAATATGTCAATACCAATCTATGTGCACAGAAATAACTTCAACTATGTTCATCAAAAACTAAACTTTCTGACTGTGTGGCTCAAGTCAATGGAAAGAAGTAACCAAATATGGATAAAAATGCCCTTTTTTTTAAGTGACCAAATTAATTCTCTGTTTTTTTGAGTAGATGAATAAATTAAAGAAAGTTACCATTTTTCTGGACAGCAGCATGAACAGTGTAGCCTTTGAGGAGGAGTTTCTTGGAGATCCAATAGCCCACAAAGGTGGAGGCATCAAGCACACAAACTGTTTGTTGATTTTCCTCACCCACCAAAACAGCTTCTTCTACTTCTTCTTTATCCCACATTTTCATTCAACTGATGATGGATAGCTGCTAAACTCAGCTTTTGACTCCAATTACTACTCACTTTGGTTAATTGATTGATATGTTCCAAACTGCCCTTACTAATTCTTGAGACTTAGCTCCCACTTTCAATATATATAGAGAGAGTAAAGTATTTGCTGTGCTAGCTTGGTTTGTATTCTTTTAAGAGAATTGAATGAATGATTTGAGAGGCATATATATATATATATATGTATGTATGTATGTATGTATGTATGTATGTATGTATGTATGTATGTATGTATGTATGTATAGACACATACAATACCCGTATTTGTCAAAAGATACGGTGTAAAATTTAAAAAATAAAATTTATATATATTGAGAATAACGCAAAAAGTCTACAAAACAAAAAAAACAAGAAGATATAGACTATATCATTTTATCAAATATTCTACTTTATAATATAATATACATGAATGAAAAATATTTATAAAAAAAGTTGTTTAAAGTTAATGGTCAGGAAATAAAGAAATCTAGCGGAAGGAATTTTGTATTTTTATTGTATGCATAGGTGAGGTCATGAGTGAGGCAATATTAATTATGAAGGGTTTAAGGGTAGAGAGGAGTTTGGTGAGCAATCCAAATTGATGATCTTGTCACCTACCTCCTCATTGCATTTGTGTTTTCTTTAAATAATAATAAAAAATAAATTTTCAAGATGCTACTTAATAATTATATATTTTCAAATAAATATATATTGTAATCAATCCAAATAATTATATATTCGGATTGATTTCAATTTTAATTTCATGCGGGACCGTTCATCTTTCCCATCCGTTTGAATATGTACGATCACATTTGTAACAATGAGTAGTAAACATGACTACATGAGCCTTGATTATTGGGGATAATGGAACATTATTTAATCACGATAATTCCATAATTACGAACTCAATTTTATGCAAATATAAATTTATACTTCATTTTCGTGAAAATAATTATTCTGCAACTGAATCTCGTCTCCTAATACTCATTTAATACATGTTTTATTTATTACGGAGTATATTCTTATCCTATAAAATTTAAAATTATTTTCATTTTTAATGAGTTTCTATTTCCAACATGGAATAATTTGGAAAAACTCAATTAGAAAGGACCATTATGAAAATTTGTTCAGGTGTTAATGATGTTTTGACAATCGTTAGTCGAGAGACTAAATTAAACATCATTCTCAATTATTGAGTACCATTTTGGTAAATAATTTATCTTGAGGACAAATTTGAAAAGACACATAGTTATTGAGTACGGATTTTAAAATGTATTCTAATAATAATAACAACAACGATAAAAAATATAAATAATAATAATATTTTTTGAAACTATAATAATATTACTATTCTTATTTATATTATTATTATTACTTCCTCCCTCCGAGAAATATCATGCCAGGTACGGCTCTTCTGACTTCTCAATAAATTTTATTTACTTGTTATTTAAATTAATTATTTGATAAATTTTATTTATTGTTATTTAAATTAATTATTTGATAAAATACTCACAATCGCTTCTTTTATTTTTATAGTTGACCTTAGTAACAGAAGAAGAGTAGAATTTAGCAGCAGTCCATCCTTAAGACCTTAATACTTCTAGAGAATTTGTTGAATAAAGAAATGCTTTTTTTCTTCAAATTATTATGTTTTAAAATTATATAAATTACTCATGTATTATTCTTTAGATTTCAACATCCAGATTTTAGTTAATATTTTTTTATATTATAATCTAGATTCTAGTATTCAAATTTTAATTAAAATTATTACAATATTCAGATATCAATTTAAACTAAAATGAAAGGAATAAATTCCACGCAGTCCGACCCAACTTGTTTGTCCAGATTTTATTTACTTTTAATTAAAATTTGTTAACTTTAATAATAAAAACTCAAAACTGAAGAAACATTCGAAAACAAAGTTAATATTATTTTTAAAGAAACTAATTATTAATTCATAAATATGTTGTCAATCTGGTTGAGATAGACTTGAACCCGTGACAACTGCCAAATTAAAGAAAGCAAAGTAAACGTGTTTGGCTTTACGACTTTTTGTTTTCAAAATTTTATTGCCTTGGAATCATTGGCATCTAGAAAAAGAGTGTTCATTATATTGCTCCATATATATGTTTTTGTTTGTTGTAAAATGAAGTTTTGTTTTTAGTTTTCTTAAAAATTAAAGGTTTTTATACTCGAGTCATCTTTACAAACTTTTTTTTTTAAATTTTTTTTGGTAAATGGTTATCCCACCAATTTGGAGCTAATGTGTTGAGATTTACAAGAACTTTGAACATAAAAAAAATTTAGGACAGAAAACAAAATCCTTAGTATTGACTATACATAATCTCAGTATAACTAAGTGAATAAAATTTGTCTTCGGTACGTGTAAGAATATCATGCACAACATAATCATACTTTATTAGAGTTGTCCAAAAGTCGTTGAGTTTTAAAAAGAAAAGGTGGAACATCCACTCCGGAAGCTCCTACACTCTAACATGACGGAATATTGATAAAATAAATTACTCCTTCCGTCCCAAATTAAGTTGTATGTTTATTGTTTACATGGTCAAATTTTATTCACTTTGTACCTATTTTCGTTATCAATTTTATAAAACAATACAATCATGTCACATCTTATTTTTTAGAACTTCTGATGTAGTTTTTTAATATTTAACTTTTATTTTTAAATTCCACTCCAATTTTCAATTAACTTGTATCGAAAATAACTTCAGTCAAACATTGTAAATCGAAACAGACGCTCCTACATTCCTCCGCGACCGAAGAGTGGGAAAATAAATCACAATACTATCTTAATCTGGTCCTTTGAAAAGTTGTCTTGTGCCCGGAGCGTACGAGGAATTAAATGTGGGCTAAGTCAAAAGTTGAAGAGGAGAAGATGGTTTATTAATGTCAAAAAGATGGGCCAAGAAATGGGGGAGCATAAGCTGCTATCTGGCAACTGGTAGGTGGTCAGTTTTAATTAGGCCTGCAAATCCCATTCGGTTTGGGGTCCGTCCAATTATTTTCGGGTTTGGGTTATTTTGAGTCCGAAATGGTTGGTTTTTTTATTTACGGAGGACATCTATTTCTTTCTTCATTCTAAAATATATTTAATATTTGTTTAATTTACTCTTGAAAAGAAATATAGGGCTCAATATATCTCTTTCTATTTTCAACAAATATAAATAATTTACATTTTATTATTCAATATTTTCTTTAACTTTTTTTAATTTTTGAGACAGCGTAATAGTGTAGGAAAAAAACAGGATTTTACAAGAATGAAGCATTCACAACTCAAATAGAAGGTGACAAATATTTTGTTTTATTATATAATCGATGGAAGCGTACAAGTAAATAAAAGTTTACTGTGATTTTTTAAATAATGAATTGTAACATTTTTTTGATACCATGTAGTATTATTATTATTATTTCTATTATTATTATTATTATTATTATTATTATTATTATTATTATTATTATTGTCACGCGGCACTCGTTAAGCTATTTGCAATATCATGCTTTCTTGTTTGCAAGTTAACGGTTATGAAGTGTACATTTATTAAATATGCAAGATGTCATCCTTTCAATTATGAGTAAGGCTACCAAACTACAATTATGACATTCAAATTCCTCTTTAAATTTGTTCCCACAAAAAAAAATTGAAAACAAATCGTTGCATGGTCTATAAATAAATCCACTATGACAGTTAATTACTCCCTATAATTCGTGGTATCAAACATAGATTATTGTAGCATAATGCAAGTGTCCGTTTGAGAATAGTGTTTTCGATTAGCGTTAACGTTTTGAATAAAATTTTAACGGCGCAGATTCACTTTGAATAGGTCAATAGGTTAACGCCCGTAAATAACTTGTTCAGAATGCTAAAGTTATTTCCAAACAAGCTCTAATTATATATATCCCGGTAGAAATGAATCAAATGATCTTTAATGTGTTGGGACTAACTAATTATATACTCCGTATAAGGTAAACTTTTTTCTTTTGTTTCACTTAGCTCCCTTTGTCCCATATATACTCTGATCTCAATGATGATAATCAAGTTTGACTAAAATTATTTTTACGTCAATTTATTTCAATATTTATGTACTTTGTAATTAAAATTCAAAAATAGAAAGTTATATACTCCATTTGTCCTCATTTTGATTACAATTTTTTTTCTTTCCTCTCGATAACTTTTGTTTATTTGCGCAATTTCAATAAGTATTTGATAAAACAAAATATTCTTGTCATCTCTTGTTTTGTAGAACTTTTGACGTAGTTTTTTAATGTATAATTTTTATTTCTTATTGATATACCGATTTATAAACAAAATGATTTCAGAAAGTGAGATATTTTTCCTCGTAAACTTCAAATTGGGGACGGACGGGGTATTAGAAAAAACTAGAACATCATAAAATCTATCTACCGGTGTATATACTCCGTATAAAATAAGAGGCGCTAGGAATATACATTCAGCATTATTTTAACAAATATAAATAAAGAAAAAAAAGATTTAACATGTGAATGATGTCATTCATGCATGAAACACTTTTTATGGGGTAGATTTTTTATATCATGAAGGTTCTAAATTAAAGCCAGTTATCATAAACAAAAACAAAAAAACACACGCTTTAAAGAAATATACTCACGCTTTAAAGAGTTGACCTTTTCATGAGACACTTGGAGTCTTGGACACATATTTAATTACAAGTGATTTCATTAAATTAATAAATTCGTAATCACATTTTTGTCCTCATAATCCATTGTAAATTATACTCTCTCTGTCTAAATAAAGTTTCTCTTTCGTTTTTTCTTTGTCTTTAAATAAACTTCTCTTTTCCCTTAAAACCCCTTTTACCCCTTACTTTTTCATACCCTACCTATCACATTATACCTTTTTACTAATAATCTACCAATCACATCTTACTTTAACACATCACATCAAGGGTATTTTTGGAAAGTTAACACCAAAATATCACTCCCTTAAATCCTCAAAAAGTCAAAAATGGAACTTTATTTAGGGACGGAGGGAGTATGATACAGCCGGATGTACCGTACAGAAAGAATACTATGTTATTTTAGAATAAACAATATAATTTACTGTACATAGTTAAAAACTGCTCGTATATAAAAAAATTATAAAACAAATAGTGACATGACCATTTTATTTTATCAAATGATTAATGAAAACACATATGTAAACAAAAATTATCAAAAAATAAAGATAGTAAACAAAGTAAACCAACCAATGAATTTGGAAAGGAGGGGAGTACAATTTAACGTACGGCATCAAGTGAGATCCTCAACTTCCCTCAAGTATGGAGTAGTGCAAAGTAGGAAATTTTGCAGGAGTTGAATTTCCCAAGTTTCAACCTTTAATTTGAAGGAATATAGAAATGAAAAAAAAAAGAAGAGGAAAATAAAACAAAATGTTACATAATAATTAAACATGAGAACTCATTCAAAGAGACTAGTTTGTCACTTTGAGAGTGTTCATTTGCTCTCTAATTAAAACTCTCATCTTTTGCCCATACAACCAATGTAGGATAAGTCATATGCCTTGGAACAAATTTTAATTTAAGACGTGTTCTCTTCATCACCTGATCTGATTGGTGCTAATCAAATTGAAATAAATTCTGATCTTGTCTAATTTGATTATAGTTATATGTAAAGTTATTTTTAATCTAATCTGATTCCAATAAAAAAAATACCCCCTTCGTCCCTAAGTATTTATCTATTTTTGACTTTTTCGATCAGAATAAGTAAATGGAGTCGACTACAAAATTTATTCCGGTACGTCATTTAATGTTTTTCTTCATCATTTGTTTGTAGAACTTCTAACATTTTTGGTGCTTTTTTGCTGAATAAATGAAATTTTTATGTTCCTTAGAAAAAATTACTCGGGTAAAAAAAATCCATCTCTTTGTCCCAACTTGATTAACTTGATTCTAGGGTGACAATTGTCAAGAAGAACCACCGTTAAAATTGTGAATGATTATGAAGTATTCAAAACAAAGGATATGATTGTTAGCTTGACAACAACCAAAAAGGATGTATAATGCCAACTTGCAACATAAGATTGCAATATCCATGAAAATGATGCTTCTATCTTTCTTTCCTTTTTATTTAAATTTGGTTCAATTTATTTTTTTAACGTAATTTTTTCTATAAAATAAAAAGAGTAAATTCCATATATGGTCTCCTATTAGGGATCGTTTTCCATATTTAATCATCAGTTCTTAGATATTCCATAAATGATCCTTAATTTTGGAAAACTATTTCATAATTAGTTTTTAGGCCAAATATGAGAGAGCTTTTTTTTCAAAAATAGTCATTGAAGGACCGATAATAGAATAGTTTTTAAAAATTGAGGATTATTTATGGAATATCTAATTATTAGAGGTGTATTCAATCTAAGTTTTAAAAGTTTATGATAGATTTCAATTGTACATTTCTAAAACGCGAATCTTTCAGTAATACTAGGAGTATATTGATTTAGCTTCAAATAATAACATTGAGACCGCGAGAAAGAGGAAAATAAAAACCATAGAGACACCAAATAACAAGGAAATGATGCAAAAGCTAAAGACTAACATTTATTTGAGAGGTAGCTTAGTAGAACCTGTGAATCTAAAGCCACCACCTACAAAATGGCACCAAAAGTGGCTACAGAAATAAGTAATGCCCTGGCTTAACCGACTCCACACGGCTCCGGCATCTTGGGACGCTCAATTCTTGAACAAGTCTGGTGAAACCTGCAGGAAAACATGAAAAGAATTGCCTGTGGAAATTCACTGGACTTAACCCACTCATTTCTCTTAGAGCCCGTTCTCTGGGGCTTACTTTTGACGGGAGTAAATGAATAGTGAATAGTAATTTGAGAAACCTTTTGGGATGAGTTACACCATATTTTACATGGTATTAGAGATTGGTCTGATAGTGGATTATGGAGTGCCTTTCTTTCAATTGTCTAACTCGGTTTGGATTGAACGGGTGTGTTGGGTAACTCACATCAATTCTCAATTGAGTTTAAGTATGATAACATGTAAGTGTGAGGTAAACCTCACCTACAAAGATCATCTTGAGGTGAGTTAAGCCGAATTTAAAAAAACACTCGATTTATCTACAAGTTCAAAGTCTAAGCAATTTTCATACAACATGGAAGAAAACGATACCTTGACATGGTGAGGCAGTATTTTTATATCCGAAGGCACGTGAAGCCAGGCCTCAGGCAGATAGTACAGAAAGTTCTCGGGTTTACTGGTGTACACATCGGCATATTGGTGGATGTGATAAGCAAAGGCTGATTCTTGACCGGAATCAGTGAGGAACGTAGCTCCAAATGACCTATTAAACATTTCTTTCATTGTAAATCGTGCTTTCTGTCTCTCATCATTGAGCTCCCAAAGAAGGGACTTGTATGCTTCACTGCTCTGGCAATTGACAACTGTAGCATGAAGCTTTCCGAGAAGTTCTTGAATTATATGAAACTTGGCCTATACCAAAAGCAAGAAAATGGAAAGAGATAGCACATAAGGATTATAAGCTTCCCGACCGTGAGCTAGCTAATAATACCACATGACAGACATTAGTTATCTTGATAACAAGAAAAAATACGGAAAACATGGGATACAAACTATTAGTTGCAAAGAAAAAAAAGATTAATCTAAAGCACAAAACCATTCATGCGTCTCTCATATTTCCTTAAAGGATTTTACATTTTTCAGAAAGCAAAATAAAAAAAGTCACAACACTCTAATGTCCACGTTGCCATGGTTATACTCTGTAAGATATAACTCAAAATAGATGTACCCGTAGGATTTTATGTGGCACTATTTAACATGAAATGAAGTTAATGAACTTTGAAGCTGATAAATGCTGGAACAAGTATCACCTTTTTCGAGTATCTTACATGCATGGGTTAAATACAACCAACAACATTGGCAAATATTGAAGAAATCTACAAGGGTTGGGGTGGAATGAAAGTTACATACTGCAAAAGTGCAAATGCAAAATAAATAGGAAACTTGTTGAGAAAAATGAAAATGTGACTATAAATTGAGAAGAATGCAGGCACCATGTGCAAGTTATTAGATGAAAGCCAACAAATTAAAACCCTGTTTGGATCTGAAATGTTGTTTGTGGGGTGTTGGAGTTGATATCCACTGAGTAGATACACATACCCTAGAAATGCACGTTATAATACCCATATGGTTCAAAAACAAGTATCAATGTATATGTTCATTCCAAACCAAATACGGAGTATAGATAAAACTGCATGTAGGATACCTGTTCAAACCTGTAACTATCATCATTCTGAATAGTAATCTCATTCTGAAAAAAAACAAGACATGGAAAGAAAGTTACTGTTAAATGTTAAACAAAGATTGTGTGCATATACTCAAGCAACTAATATAGCATAATTTCCCATCAGCCCAAAACTACCTTTTTCTAGGGTTCTGTCTTAAATTTCCATCTAGGAAGATGGAAAATCATTTATTGCAGGCACATCCTTTTATTGTGAGATACGTAAAAATAGCAATGTAATTTCCCTCAAATCAAAATGGAAAATGATAAAAGAAGGCATACTTCCAGTTCATGGATGATAGCAGCAGTGTGCCAACCAGCTTTTGAAGGCCCTCTCAGGTCACTGAATAGGTGATCCCCAAAATATATGACCTAAAATTGTACACATAATTGATTAAATAACTAAATAGAAACAAAGACTTAATGAGGATATTATCTTAGTGGACAGATCCAAGTAAATAAAAATTATAAAATATATAGAGGTGTCTGAATGAGTGGAAAATATAAAGAATACCTCTGGACCTTTCCACTTTGTGATTTGCAAGAACGTTTTAAGGCACCCATGGTAATAAACTCTGTCAGGAAGAAAAGAATCTACCTTCGAAAATGCTAATGTGTCCTCCTCAACATGATAACCTCTGCATTAAAAACCCGACACGAAAAACAAGCACATTTAGTATCCCATGCGGACAAAAGAAATGCATAAAAAAGGCAACTGTATGCCCAATTCTAATACTCACATTACTGAAATGAGTTTTTGTATACTGTTAGAAAGCTGGGGTAAATAGGTTGTTTTTTAAGGAGATGAAAACCCTAATATAGCGCTTTGAGTGATAGGGTGGAAGGCAGACAAATTTAATACAAATATCAACAAATAAGAATATTAGAGCTACAAACCTAAATGGATGCTCAGATGTGTAAAAATCTGGTTTTCTTGCTTTAGCAATCACAACATCAAAAAGTTCCCTCCACGAGTCTTGCTGACCCAAAGAATCCTAATAAGATGTGAAGAACAAAACTAGTTTTAGAAACTAAAAGGTTTGTGTTTTACAAGAATACGATAGGAGGAACATTCATGGAGTCAAGATTTGCTCTTTCATACATTGAAGAGACTGAAAATGCATGAACAGCAAAACCAGATGAATTTCATGTGTTTTGCAGTTGTGACTGTTGCATCATATGACATTTTACCTCATTAAAATCTAATTTTAAAATCATATTGTTGCATTTCAGTAGAGCAAAAAAAAAAATACATAGCAGAAAACACCAAAGAAATAGAGATCTGAGACAGAAATTTGTGGGTATACAGAAACAATTTCATAAGCTCACACTCTTTCTCAATCATTGACATGTTTTACTTAATGTATTGCAAAATACCAAGCACTATCATATTTATCTAATTCAGAAAAAAATGAAATGAAAAATGGTATTACTTTGAGCATATAACGCATTCCGCCATCCACAAAAAAGTAAGGAGAGTTGGTTAACAAGAAGAGTTTCTTCCCTTTCTCTTTTAGCTTCCTTAAAAAGCGAAGTAGCTGCCCCTGGAGCATATGATCATAATCATATTGGGAAATGAAAGAAAGTCAATAGATCTGCAATAAACTCGACTGCAAGCATCTTGAGTCAAAGAAGGTACTTGTACTTCACTTACATTCTTCACCAGATACTTCTGGGGATCTGAAAGAATTCCTCTATGAACCAAATGACTTTTGTGAACATGTTGTATAGCTCGGTTAACATCTTCATAGATATAAGCAGCATCAAATTCCAATTTAGCATCGACAAAATGTTGAACAATATCAGCTATAAGGCACGCCTGCAGGGAAAAATTTGCAAATGGAGAAATGTGAGGATGACAAACTTACTGAAAGTGCATTACAATGTACCAATCCAAGCACCCTTTTACAATACAAGCAGTTGCTAGAACCAGTGTGGTATGCCTTCTGAATGTAGCACAAGAAAACTATCTATAATCAAGATGATAATGTTGCCAATTTTCCATTAATATGTATAACTAGATAGTTACATTAATATTATATGTAATCCAGAATACATCAGGGATCAGTCTCAATTATATCGTATTTGTGTGGGCATTCACATTGGACAGGTTTAACTCACACCAGCATGTCTATGAAAAGTTCAAATACTGAATGAAACAGATTAACTTTTTTAGCATTTTGAATGAGCGTGTGTATGCTTGCTTAGTATTTATTTAATAATAAACAATCAATTATTAATAAGATGCTAAGAAAACTTCCTTAGAGGTACAATTACTAAGACACGAACCTCACTGAAACAGAAGAAGTCCATCAAGCCCACAAGTTCTCGTGCATGATCACGACCAATATGTCGGTTGCCATATATCTCATTAATCTCTTCATGACTAAGCTGCAATATAAATACAATAGAAAACTATAACAGTAGACAAGAACAAACCCAGATGGGATTATACTGGGTCAAGATGTACTGTATGATGATACATAATGAAGAGCATGATATACCAGATTCTATATAAATTCTTGAAAGTAAACACTACTATTAAGGAATAGACTTTATTAGGTTCTGTTAAAGCTTAAAGCTTAAGAAAATGAAAGAAGACTTCACATACATTAAAGCATTGAACATAAACAAGACAAGTATCTAGATGTGCAACCCTAAAGTGCAAGAGATGTGTACAATTAATTGCATTTCAATTTTCAACAGAAGAATCATCCAAGAAAGTAGCATTGCAGTAAATATAAAATGCATAACTGGTACAAACGCCTTAAAAGTTGTACCTTGCGCCTGCCAAAGTAGCAACTGCCGGGCTCAATTGATCCAAAAAAGTCTAGCTTCATGAGGCACCCTTTTAGTTTGTCATAATATAGCCCTCTAATGGGAAATGAAGCATCATACTTGAATGTAATGCATTTTTCAGGATATTTGAACTGAAGAAACAATAATTAACATGATTAAAATGCAGCTTTCAGCATTCCTCCTTTATCAAATAAGATAAATTTCATTAATACGAAAAAAATCGAGGACAATGAGGTAAAGAAACAAAGTCCGTGTCGAAACTAACTTACTAACCTCATTAACAAGATGCTGCTTTGCTAGGTCATATATCAAGGTCTGCAAATCAGAAGAGTAATGTGCCAACGTATAATCATAATCAAATCCATACACATCGATATTATCTAGCCGCAGGTTCTTATTGACGTATATTCCTATACTTGCATAAAAAACAAATAGCTTTTCAGTGATATACTGATATTCTCAACCACAAACAGATTATGTATGGAATAGAAAAAGAATAATGAAAAAAGACCTTTGGGATTCATTTTTGGCATATCTTTTAAAGCATCCGGTATTTTCAGAAACCTCTGTTTAGCATCATTGAATTGTTCCCGAATCTTAGTAATTTCACACTCAAACGTTGGGTCACTTTCATCAGCTAACTTCTTTTGTTGGTCTTCCAATTTCAACAGCCTCTCCTTTGAAGATGCTATAGTGCTGTATATCCTTGAGTTGCTTCCTTCAAAGTTCCAAGGGAAGGCATGCAATTGACACTCTGCATTCCCAACACGTTGCACAAATATAAGAACTACTCCCTCCGTCCCAATTTGTAATGAACTTAATAAAGTGAATTACATAATACTTTCTGCAAATGAAACACGCACAAAATATTGGGACGGACCACGAACGAAAACAAACACAACTATTGGCCCAATGAGTATTACACTAAGGACGAGCCATGTTATACTCCCTCCGTCCCGAAATAAACTATGCACTTCTCTCATTTGTGTTTGAGGAAATGATATGTGACTCACAGAATTTCTCTCTTTCTACTCAATTTCCATCCACACATTTTTCACTTTGCAATCTTTTTATCAATCTTGGTGAAACCAAAAAGTGGAGTTCTTCACGACAGTATAGAGTATTACATAATTATCAATAAATAGAAGACATACCTTCTTGAAATCCAATACGATAAATGCTCATTGTCTGCAACAAACAATAAAATTTCTAAGTGGTCACATTACATTGCACAAGGCTTCTGTGCATTCAAATCAGTATGCGCATATGTCTACACAAAACCGCCACACAATCTACGGTTCTACACGCGCATACTGCGAATTAAAATTATCAATAAATACAAAGAGAGAGAGGGAGAGAGTACAGAAATGGAGGAGCGGATACGGAGAAGTTTGCGCGCGGAGGCCATGGAGTTCGGCTGGACAATGGGAGGTGGATCTGATACTGTTTGCTTAGGTTGTAGGAATTCGGAGAAATCAGAAAGTGTTGAGGTGTGGAAGAAGTGGTGGTTGAGCAGCGGCTGCCGCCATCGTCGACGGGAGGAGAAGCTTCAAACTTTCCGGAGGACGGTCCAGTCGGCCACTTCGTCAGCTAAAATAGTGAACGAACGATTTTTTATAATTATTGGCCGATGCATGTAAAATGATAATACTTATTTTTATTTTGAAGTAAAGTAGTACTCATTCTCGTACAAATATAATCATTCATTTCGAACTAAGTAGCAAAGGTAGTACTCATTTTAAAATAAAAAAGTACTCATTTTTACACATTTCTCTAATATAATTATAATAAATAGCGTAATGTTCATTCTTTAAAAAACAATACTCATTCTCAAATAAGGAAATGTTCATTCTGAAATAAAGTATTGTTCAATTTTTTCACAATTAAAAAGTTCAGTACCATCATCAACTTCTTCCTCCATTCGATTCGTTCCTACTCATTTATACTCTCTGAGCATGAAGAATTTAAAACCCAGGTTTATTCATGTTTGTATTGAATAAGAATATGATAATTCTCATGAGTGCTGGTACTCATTCTCAAATTTGTTGGTACTCATTGTCATATATATAATAGTTCTCATATATGTTCTGAGCATTGTATAAAAAGTTCGTAAAATTTACAAAAATACTAGACTGTACCTAAAGGAAGGTACAGCTGGATGTACCATATAATTTGCCCTTTATAGGCTTTAGCACTTTTTTGTCCTTTTTAATGTAAAGAAAAAGGCAGAAATTATCTTAAATAATCCTATATTTTTACGTTTTTTGAAAAATAATTTCTCTTTTTACTGTTACGAGAAATAATCTCATTTTTCTAAATGGGATTAATTTTTTCGTGTTTATAATGTTCTCAAACGGAATTGATTTTTTCCATCCCGTTTATTATATTCTCAAACGGTAATGATTTTTTCCTATTTATAATGAAATGGTACCAAATCCTTTATAATGTTTTCAAACGGGATTGATTTTTTCTATCACGAACCGAAACTGAACTGACATCAAATGGAACCAGACCATGACACAAATATTTAAAATTGATTATCACTGACCGTACAGTCCAACGCTATATACAGAGTACATATCTCAAATAATTATGGAGTACTTGTCTATTTCACCTTATCGTATATAGAGTACTTTGTATTTTATTATTCATTTTTTAAATACTTTTATTATTATTGTCGTTATTACACTTATTACTACTATTGGCATTATTTTTTTATAGTTATTAATAGTCTCATATTATATGAATTGAAAAAAAACTATTTTTTAAAATTCGACTCATTATCTTTTATTCTTTATGTTTATAATCCGTTAAATTTGAAATCAACACTTCTGTTTGATAAAATTGTGTCTTTTTATACAAATTTTTACATTAAATTCAATATTCTTTGAGTAATGTACGTTCATTTTTTTGGCACGATTTGAGCATGGATATGGTATTGTACTGAAACTGAACTGTTTAAATAAAAGCAGTAGATTCTGGTAATTAGAAAGATTATTTAATTTGCTTTTACTTCGATATATGTCCAACAAGCTGGAATAGCTCAGTTGGTTAGAGCGTCTGGCTGTTAACCACAAGGTCGGAGGTTCAAGCCCTCCTTCTAGCGTTCTCTTTTATTTACTTTTTTACATTTCATCTATACCTTTTTACAATTCCCGAAACTTAGCCATTTTTACTGCGCAGATCGACCTCACCTCAGTCACCAGCTCCATTCCCACCCTCTCTCGCGGCTAATTGCACTCGATTCACAATTTTTTCTTCTTCGCCGCCTAGATTCTCAAGGATGTCCATGGAAGCCGCCGCCGCTGCCACATCCTCCTCACCATCTCCGTCCTCCGCCATCGATTTTCTCACACTCTGCCACCGCCTCAAGGTACGCACATTCCACGAAATTTTAGAAATTGGTGTGATTTTTGATAGGATTATATGTTCGAGGAGAATCCCGCCGGTTTCAAGGCGGCAACGTACTGTGTATTTCGCTACTATTTTCATGCTTGCCGAATCCGAAAGAATGAATTGTGCTCATGCTTGAATTCACTGAGTCACAAACGTGTTGTTGCCTGTTGGAGTGAACTAACTGTCTGGACTGTGTGAATTTAGTGGGTTTATTGTTGTTTTTGAAACTTCACTGTTTGCTGAAGCTGGAATATTTCTTGAGTTTGAGTTGCTATGTTTTGTGGCGTGCTTTAGAAATGATTACATATGTTCAAGTTCTTGGTGGATAAACTTTCCTACTTCACATAAATTACAATGAGCTAAATTGAATGGGTTGAAGCTCTTAATAGACCACGAAGAGGACTGGTTGGGTATATAGAGGTGTGAAAGATCCGGAATCCATATCTGATCACATGTATCGTATGGGAGTGATGGCTCTTATATCCACTGACCTTCCTGGCGTGGATCGGGACAGGTGAGTCATATATTGTAGTTTATCTGTTCCTTTTTTTTAGTACTTTTTTTGCATTAACCATTTCTTCCGATATTTCAAGTTTGTCTGCTTTGCACCAATTGACCATTCTAATGTAAGATTCACTTTCAGGTGTGTAAAAATGGCTATAGTGCATGATATTGCTGAAGGTGAGAACTATTCTTTTGAGCCTTTTTTGTCTATCATGTATTCATAGCCAGCCCACTAACATATAAAGAATGTTCTATGCAAATCGATAAAATACCAAAATTTCACTCGCCCCTCCTCCATCAAGTCATTGCAACACATAGTAGTGCCGCTATAGTGCTATTTAACAGAGACTAACATTGTATTAATAAAATAGAAGGAATAAAAATCTAAAGTAAATTTTCCCGGAGAAAATTAGAAGGAATCAGATAATATTTTCGCATACTCAAGGCAATCCCATAGAAGCATGATATTTATGGACCAATCTCCTGGCTAGCGCTAGTCCTCTTTAAGTTTGGATCCAAATAAGAAAGAGTTGTTTTATGTAGTTTAGAAATGCCTCATTCCTGAACGTTATGAATTTTCACATTCTTGGTACTTTTTGATCAGTTTGATGTCAATTAAATGTGAATATGTGATGTTCATGTTGCTTTACTCTTACTTATTCTCATGCTTCACTTTACTGTCTCATAAATGTTAGCATGTGCAATGTATGTTAAGCAGCAATTGTTGGAGACATAACTCCTACTGATGGGGTTTCAAAAAGCGAAAAGAGCCGCCGGGAGAGGGAAGCTATAGAGGAGATGTGCAAACTGCTAGGCGGAGGTCCACGAGGTGAAAATAAAATTGCAACTTCACCACTAGTATTTCATCCAAGCAGTGAAATGGAGAGAAATTGACTCAACAAGCATTTTCTTCTATTATTTTGGGGCTTTTAGCTAATTGAGTTAGTAACATTAATGAAAGACGCTTTTCTTTGTGATGCTTATGTTTTTAATTGCAGCTAAGGAAATAAAGGATTTGTGGCTGGAGTATGAAGACTGTTCTTCACTGGAAGCTAAAGTTGTTAAAGATTTTGACAAGGTACCTTGCACATTAGTACTAATAAGTAAAATAAATGTATGCAGTGTTTGTCTCATGATGTCTTTTACAGTAGTAATGAAAACTTTAAAATTGGCTTGGACAAAACTTGAGTGTGTGTGACTTTCACTCTTTCTCAATAAACGAGTAAGTAACACCCACCCACCAACACACACGCACATGTTTGTCTGTGTGTACAAATGATAAGTTTGGGTTGACACATAAGGTGATAAAAAGAGGGGTCAATATGTCTGAACATAGACAAACTATAGGGCCCTGACAGTTTTGGTTGGGAGTGACTACTAAATGTTTCAAGTTGTTATATCATTGATAACTCATATATTGATGTTCTTAAACCTTTTGATCAACATCCATAAACTGTTGTGACTTCTTCTTTCTTATAGGTTGAGATGATACTTCAGGCTTTGGAATATGAAATAGGTATACACTTTCTTCCTTCTGTTTTTTCAATCCCAATCTAAAATTCCCATAAGAATTTGGCAGTTGGCATCAATTGATAGGCACTGTTTAGATCCAGAAATTGTTTGAAGTGGTGTGCCACCATTTTGGACGCACAAATGTTTAAAAGGAATGCGAACCTTATTGTGGGACATGCAAAAATGGCAAGTGGGAACATTATTTTGGGATATAGGGAGTACATGGTAATTTCAAATGTTTCTTTCATTAGATTGCGATAAAAATAATTGGACTTAAAACAACAACAACAATAACAACAACAACAAACCCAATATAGTAGTCCCAACTCTATTGGAGTTTAGGGGGTCACTATGTACACCACCTCACATCCTCACCCTTGTATAAAACAGAGAGGTGTTTTCCATTAGACCCTTTGTTTATAGCTTCATTTTCTAGCCCAAAACTACATAGAATAAGAAGCCAGGGAAGTTGAAATTTTCATTTTGATTTAGTGCATTATTTACCGAAAGCTAAAACATTATCGTAAGTTGCTCTTTTAGTTTCGATGGGGTAACATTAAAACTTAGGCACATTACTTGAGTATTTATTTTGCAACACATGCAATTTATAATACTAAAGACATGGTGCTTGCATGATAGAATAACAGCACCTGCTAGAGGGTTTCCAATAAAATCTAATCCATCTTCCAGTGAGGGGTATTAATAAACTACTGCACTTTGCTTCCATGATTACAAAACAAAAAAAGTTATGATAGAAATGGTATTTTTATGTAAAATTGGGCTTAGTAACCAATAAACCAGCCAGTGTCTTGTTACATTGTAAGTTTAAAGGTCAACTACTAGTTACAGACCTTACAATCTTGACATAATAAAATAATATCTCATTTGTTTGTGGTTCTTGCAGAGCAAGGGAAGGATTTGGATGAGTTTTTCCAGTCTACGGCAGGTGCCACATCTAACCTATCTTTGCTTCTTCTTCTGCAGTTGCCATACTTTCTACCTTGTTAAGGAAGAGTGTAATTGCATTGTTCTTTACTCTCTCCAATTAGCTGAGCATTCACATTAGATTTGTTTGAGAAATGCTAATTTTATTGGTAAAATGAAGGCTTCTTAATGTGATTCTTTATGAGAAGAAAGCCTTCTAAATGTAATTCCTTAAACAATAAAAAGATCATATATATAGTTCCTTTTCTTTTGCTTTCTTGCTGTGTTTAAGAGAACATGTTATTTATCTGTGCAGGGAAATTTCAAACTGAAGTGGGCAAAGCTTGGGCTGCGGAGATTATATCAAGACGAACAAGCAAAAAATAAGAAGTTCAAAGCAATCACCTCTAAGTTGCATTGGGTGGCAACATATTCTTCATAGTCTTAGAGGTAAACATCAATGCCTCTGATTCTCATATCTTTCCTCTACTTGGGAAAATAGGACAGGTGATAACAAAGATTTGTGGAAAATGTGCCTCTTTTTCCCTTCTTTATGTGTACCTTGATTTTTCTTGTAATTTTTATTTTGCTTTTACGCTGATTTAATTGAATGATACTTATTATGTTTAACTTGTTTTTACCTCTTTTTTCACAAATGTGAAAACATGGCTTCATTTGTCTTTGATTGGATTTGCATTAGTTTAAATCAATTGGTGTAAGTTAATCATACCTAAAAAAAATAGTGTAGGATGACCAGTAAAACAAAGATACCATAGCTTTAAGGCTTTTTTTAATAGGGGGTGAGGATTTCTGGATTGAGGGTGTCTCTAATTTCGTCCTATTTTGTTTGTGTCGTCGTGGAGGACTGTAAGGTCATTATGTCCGATTTTGATCACGCTTCTGTTCCCTTTGTGCGTCGTACGTGAGTCGCAAGTTGACAAGGTGCAAGTTAATGGATGGTCTAAGAACATGAACTTCAAAATTGAAAACACCAACGGAGAGGTCAATGAAATCAAGCATGCATATACATTTGATATATATACAAGGCATACATTTTATATTTAAATTAACCCTAATCACATATGATAAGATTAATTACTCATAAATACAACTACTAATTCTATTTCTTATTCACTAATTTCATATGCTCCCTGTGAGTTTTCCTCTTATCGCCCATCTTAGTGAGCTTGAGAAAAAATCATTGAAAAACTCTAGGGTAATTTCTCATTATACAATATTTTTTTAAATTCTACTCCGCAATTTGTTAGCACGTGCCTTAGTAGAACTCTTCTTATTATATACTCAGTAGTACTCACTCAGGATATTTATTTCATTCATAACTTCACAAATCACAATACATACAAACTCGTACTAATTTACGTGATTATACTCATTACTTATCACACGATTCTTTTGGCATTCAATTCGAGTGCTATAATATGACACCCAAAAGCCTCAGTGTTGTATTATGACACCGAGTCTTGATGTTCAAAGAACCGTGCTCTATTATTTAACTCAGACCGAGACGGTATGCTATGTTAGCAAGATGGAAGCATCTTGCTAGTAGCCGCTGCCGCCGCCGCTGCCATAACCTCCTCCATGGCCGCCACCATATCCGCCTCCACCACCGTTTGAGCCGCCGCCAGCTCTTGACCCTGCATAAGACCCTGCTTCTGATCCAGCACTACTCTCACCACCACCACCACCACCACCGTGACTTGAGCTACTAGAGCTTGAACTCGAGCTAGAGCTAGAGCTTGAACCGCCTGCTCCCGAGCCCGATCCGGAACCTGACCCGGACCCGCCTAGGCCTATGCCTATGCCAGTGCCAATGCCTATGCCTATATTACCCAAGTCCAACCCCAAACCCTGAGTCTTCACCTTCTCACCCTTAATGATGTCTCGAGCTTGGGTTACCATAAAAACACTAGAAAAGGAAAGTAAGGCAACCAGAACAACTAGAGCCTTTAAATCCCCCATGCTTAATTATAATATAAGCTCTCAGGAACAATATTGTGGCTAAGATGACAAAGTTTTGTAAATTTATTTGCTTCATTAGCTGCTATATATATAGTGCATGCTAGCATTTTCGATAGTAGGCCCCTAAAAGTCTTAATTACTATTTCCTTTATTGTCATACTCCGTATTTATTTATTTATTTCTGTTTCTAGTTTCTACTAATGATTCAATAAAATAGTATAGTCATGTTATTTTTTGTTTTCTAAAGAATATAATTTTTTATGTAAATTTTAAATATGCATGTTTTACAAATTATGTCTTTTATTTTTATACCGATTTTCAAATAAAAGAAGTTTAAAAAACTTATATAAATCCCCTCCCAACTTTTATTTTTGGAGAACAGAGAGTATATATTGATTTTAGCCTAGTTTGCTCTACACCTTATCTCGTTTCATAGATACTTGTGTTGTCTCAAATTATTTGTTCAGGTTTTTTTTACCATTATCTGTGCTCTTTCCATTCCACAATAAATGTCTATTAAGGATTATAAAATATATTAGTTTTTGAATGAATATAGACTTAGGGCATGTTTGAAAATAGCGTTAGTGTTTTAGATAAAATTTTAATGTTGTAGATTACTTTGAAAATGCTAACGTTAAATGGCGCCCAACGCTATTTCCAAAAAGGTCATTACACATGTCTACATTCATTTCAAAATTAAATTCATGTAATATACTCCTTCCATTCAGCAATAGACAGTTATTGCTGAATGGAAGAAGCCTATTAGGTGAATTTATTTTTAGAACACAATTTCTAGCCCGAGGATAATGCATGCTTGGTGAGACCAAGATGGTAAGACTTTGTGCATTGTGGACCATTGTAATGATAAAAAGGTATATGAGTGGAGAGCCCATTGAGATAGTCCAATCCATCTTGTGGCAGGCAAAATTTATAGAAGACGGTTCCTACCCCTAAACCCCTCCTCACTTGCACTATTGTATTTGTTCACGCATATTTTTTTTCCAACTTAATATAGCTTTAGACCCCGTTTGGTATACGGAATTCAAACTATGGAATTGGAATTGAGAGCTTCAATTCCAATTCTGGTGTTTGGTAGTACAAAAATTGTGTGAATTTGGAATTGATAGTGCAAAAAATGAATTGGAATTGGCAGAATTCAATTCTATGGAATTGTATCCCATGGAATTTCAATTCCAATTCAATTCCAATTCCATCAATTCCGTGTACCAAGCGGACCCTTAGTGTCATCGCACGGGGTTCAAACGTGAGACTTTCAATTTTTTTTTAAAAAAATGATAGTGATGTCGTTGGACAACAATTTTTTTTTTGCGTGCATATAACACCTAATTTTAGGGTAAAAAAAGAACCGACCTCAAAATTAAAATGATAGTGAATTTTATATTTGATGAGTTGCCTACCCACAAATTCCACTAACTACATATATGTAATAAGGTGTATATCCATATTGCTTCGCTTCACTAGTGGCTTGTGCATGCGGCATAAAATATATTTAGTATATAGACAATTGTTGTCAGTTTGTGTCTGTAACACACTGATGTATATATCTAGCATTCGACATGGATAACATATCTACCTAATTTTAATTGCTTAATATTTTCTTAAAAGTGATTTACTTTTTAAAAATATTATAATTATTAGGGAGTAACCGAGTAATGAACTTAGAAAATTCTTATATATACCAAATATTTTTGTATTGAAATTGTCTTCATCAATTTCTATTATGGCATGTTTGATAATTTGAATTTTTAAATTTAGATTTGCATCAAATTCCATATTTGAGAATCTTAAAAAAATTGGATTTTTGGCATATTATTTTACTCCGTAATTCACAACAAAACCTAATCACAAATTCATATATGAAATTCATATTTTAGAATTGGAAAGAAAGAAACGAAATGAATACTCGTTCTTAAATATCCTTTAGATAATTATACAGAGTATCAAAATGCCTGAAGTATAAGTTACTCATATTATATTTTCAGTGACATTATTTATATGCAATACAAGTACTTCGTATTAGGCCTAATCAAAGTCTGGGTGGGACTGGGTTTTGTGCTGAGCCGAGACTCTACACTACAAGGATTTTCTAGGCATGAGTTTGGTCCAGTCCGTATAACGGGCATAACAATTGAAGCCCGAGCCTCGTCCGCACGACAAGAGTTTTAAATAATAAATAAATAACTTCTTTAAAAAAATTAATGGGTTAATATATATTAGATCTTTGAAGTATTAATGTCTATTTATAATAATTTGAAATAGTAGATTTGCTATTATTATTATTATTAATGTTGTTATTTGTTATAATTATACTAATAATATAAAATTTTAATTTCTTCGGGTTGGCTGGCCCATGAGTTTGAGCCTAAAATTTAAGCCCGGTGCTAAAATATTTAGACTGCCATTTATAAAGTCCAAGCCCGACCCGTGGTCTAATTGTCAAGATCAAGCCTTCTATTTTACGGGCAGGCCGGATACCCGGCCCGTGATCAGCTCTACTCCCTGTATAAAATGTGATGAAATGAATATTGAGTATAGTTTTAATTAAATATGGAGTAATTAATAATAGTTTTAAGCAAATAAATATTATACTTAACGTTTATTATTCAAAACAATTAGATATCCCTTTTTTATAATATGTGATCAATTTTATAAAATTTGATATAAAAAAAATCAAATCAATTTTTAAAGGCAGAACTCAGAAGGCCGTCCGCTGCGAATCCTGCCATTCATGTGATTTTGTTTTCTAATTTAACCCTCCGTAAAACACAGATATGACAGAATCCTCTGGAAAGATCCAGAAGAGACCCCCAAAGTGATCCTTCTTGTGGCCGCCGGCCGTACTCCGGTCAGGTGTATCCGGTCAAACGCACCTTACCGGGATCGTCCCACCGGCGATTTCTCTCCAGGTTTAGCGTATTCGTGCTTCAGATCACTCCCCTACTGATTCTTACGTTATGCTGCCTGTTGCACATCGCCATGCGGATCATCTTCGTCCCGAGATTTTGGAGAACAAATTAGCGTCTCAGAGAGAAGAAATAGAGCAGCTTGTTGCAGATAACCACCAACTGGCATCTACTCATGTGGCCTTGAAGCAAGATCTCGCCGCGGCTCTGGAAGAAATCGAGAGAATCAAAGAGCATATTAGGAGCATTCGGACGGAAAGCGATATCCAGATTCGGCTCATTTCGGACAAGATGGCGAAAAAGGAAGGGGACATTCAAGCTTCTGAGAGAGTCCGGAAGGAGCTGCAACAGTCTATTAACGAGGCGAAACAGTTGGCCACCACTATTCGCGAGCTGAGTGCTAAAATTACCCATGCTACTGGAGAATTGGAGAAAGCTCGCTCTGAGGTGAAGAATTTGCCACAAATGCAAGCTGCACTTGACAAATTGCAGAAAGAGCACCAAAAATTACGGTAAAAAGCTTTGATGTTTGATGCTTTCTTACTCATTTTATTGCTTCTATTATGTTCGGCCTTGTTTGGATTGGTTAGGTCACTTAGGTGATAGGAGTGGAATTTCAGGGAAGTAGATGTACACATTGTTAGCAACCTATTCATAGGTTCGGGAAGAGGATAGAATTAGGCAATCTCCCCTCCCAAGTCCCATCCCACCCCTATTATTTCCAAATGCAAAGGATTAAACCTCTCCAAACGGGTGATGGGGGCTGAAAATGCGCATTATTGGACGAACCACATAATATACTGCAGCGGATGTGCCATCAAGATCATTGGATGAAATGAAGTAGCATACCTTCATATCAAAATATTTCAGGCCATTCTCATGGAGTCTTTTTTTTTCTTTCATGCACTATGTGTTGAATTCTTGAATGACCAAAAGCATTCATCACATTTTGTATTCCCTTTGCTTGAGCCTTGTGTTTGATATTGCGCTCTTTGAACAATTACTAGATGTTAAGAGTAATTCCACGTTCTTGTCCAAGTTTACCATTTGGATTTACCCTCATTTTATGTGATTACGAAATTTAATGTAATTGAAACAATTTTACCACTCAAATGTCATACTTGTGTTGAATGTGGAAGTGGATGTGATGGCGACATGACTTTACTGTTTACCAAACCGAATGCTATTTCATCATACATAGTTGTTGAGATTTGCATCTGATTATTCAGTCTTCATATATGTTTGACTTTGAGGAGGCTTTAGTCAATTGACCGCACAATCTACAATACCTGTTGTGTTCTTGATTGATTGCCCATAAATATTCATCACATTGTAATATAAGGTTTTGCCTAGGCCTTGAATTATGTATTGTGCCTTTTGACCATTATATGATGCTAAAATAATTCCAGGTTCCCATCCATGTTTGCCATCTTGGATTACATGTTGGGAAATTTTACCCTCATTTTATGGAATTGGCAAATTTCATGTAAAACAACTTTACCACTAAAATGTCATCCTTGTGTCGAACCTGGAAATGGATGACTATATGTGTATGTGACTGGCATTTCTTAAATGTTAACCATACCTATTGCTATTTCATCATGCTTAATACTGGGTTGAGATGCCCATCTTTCAAACTCACAGTTATCATCATTCATTCTTTGACTATGAGGATGCTTTAGAGTATTGAATTTTTACATGTGGCTAAACACATGTCTCATCATTCTTGGATGTTTTTATTGGGTTCTTTTTATGCGTGTGTGTTTTATTTTTAATCTATAAGTAAAATGTAACTTAGGCTCTCTATACTGAACATTTTTTTCATTTGTTTAATTGGTGCCAAAAGCAAGACATTTGAGTATGAGAAGGGTCTAAACATAGCACAAGTTGAAGAAATGAAACTCATGGAGCTCGACCTGGTTGGCAAGTCAAGTGAATTGGAAAGATTACAGGCTGAGTTGTCAAATGCTGAGAGGAAAGTTCAACAAGGTAACAAGCCGTGTGCCACTTCGGCACTTTGAAAAGAATCATCCATGTTATTTTTTGTCCAAAAAAGTCATATTTGAACTAAAGCAGCTAAATTTCATTATAAGTATTTTAAATTCAGTTACACACCCAAATAAATTTCAAAACATAGCTTGAACTCTTGATTTCTGGTTGCTGCGCCGGACTAAAATAAGTTGAACCTTGGGGAAACATTACTTTTGTTGGGTGATGGGGGTGAACAACAAGAAAGTATAAAATATAAATGTATTGAATTGAGCAAATGTTTTGTTCCCTCCCAAACATTTTATTTCTTTCCAGATTTTCCTTATGTCGTCCTCTAACTGTTTTCCATAACATGTTACGAGCGAGTTCCAAACAGACCCTGACTATTATTGCTATCTGTGCAGCAAATGAGGCATACAGTCAACATTTAACGCACCAAATTCATCCTCCGATGCATAATGCCATGAGCTTTCCGGATGGTTTTGGAAGGCCTACAGGAGAAGGGTCAATTCCCTATGGAACTGCTCATGCTGGACCTGGACTTGGAAGTGCAAACTTTGCCTGGCAACAAGGACCTTATTAGGCTTCTTCACATGGTAGGTTGTAAATTGCATTTCCCTTTAGACCCGGGTTCCTTTACTAACTACTGAAAAAAGTACTGGTGGCAGTAATTTACGTTTACCATGTGAATTCCATCCCTTGTGCTTCTGTTAGCCTTATAGGAACCCAAACTCTTATCATTATGTTCTGGCCATTTCCTTATAATGTAGGGCATGGTTACTTGAATTATATCCCAATCTATGGATTAGCATTTTGTAGGGTTGTTTCAGTTGCTTGGTTTATACCCCTAACAGTCCTCATTAGTCCTGCTTATGGTGCGTTTGGTTAAGGAGTGATAGTGATTAATTAAGGGAGATTGCATTGTTCAAAACATTTTTACAGTTTTACTGCAAGGGGACTTGCAACTTGGGTTAACGAAGGACCTGAAGGTGAATGTTTCTTCACTTTGTTGTTTGAATAGGCCCCTCTATATTCTTAAAAAAAGACTCATCAATTTTCATGGAAGGGATCAGACTTTAAGCATTCCATCGCTGATGTATTGAGGCTTCTCTCTTTTCTTTTACTAGCTCATAGCATAAAATAAAATCCATCAAATAACTTCAAGTCCTTAATACTCCGTAATTCTAATTAACTTAAAAAGAATATTCCAAACAAAAGATCCACAAACCATGCGCTACCTCGTCTTTCAATAAACTTTATATTAAATTTATAATAACTAATTTCATTCATTTTTTTTAGAAATGAAAATGTGATTCACAAGTTTTTCTTCTCATTTAAATAAATTATATAAATACTTTTTATTTTTTTAGGACGGAGATAGTATAATAAATGATTGAAACAATAAAGAAAAAAATAAATGGTAATTTAATTTTTGAATGGCAAAAGTTTTGTTTATAGAGACCAAATCAATTTCTTAAAACTTTTGGCTCATGGCTTAGAATGGTAGGAAGATACTCTTTGCATCGTACAAATCTTTGTGTGATATATCTGTACATCCGCATCGATTATTCATTTACAAGTAATTGAATATTCATTTTTGAATAACTAAATACTTGTTATTCTAAAATTTAGTTATGTTCAAAAATGAATATTCAATTACTCAGAAATAAGTATTTTATTACTCAAAAATAAATATTCAAATACTCAAAAATGAGTATCAATGTGGATGCACGAGAAACACTATACATCCAGACTTATGATATACAGAGTAAGTAGTCTATTTAGTTAAAACTTATCGAGTAAAAGAAAACAAAAGATTGAAAGTCCATTTGGTGAGTTTTGAAGATATGATAAGATATGAATTGTGAAATCTAGGAGAAATAATACGAGTTTTGAAATCTGAAGTTAATTTGTTTGAAAAGATTTAAAAGTATTATTTAATCATTGATAAGTGGCGAATATCGGCAACAAGACTGGCCGATGATGACAATAATAGCCGGTGACGTAGAATGATCAATTATTGAGAGATATCAAACCTCATATTGATTTCTATCAAATTCGGTAGATATCAAAACTCTCTATTTGAAAGATTTATAAAATCTGAAAACATCGAATTTGATTTTTTTTTTTTGCTTCACCAAATATTCAAAAGAAATTCCAATATTTAAACGTATCAAAAACTCACATGTCATCAGAGTCACCAAAGTGACCAAACACGAAAAAAAATTACTCCGGATAATTTCTTACTTATTCAATTTTTGTTTTAAGACCGTATATACGCAGATCTCAGAAGAAAAATCACAGAGGGCTTCAACGCCGCTGCATTTTCGTATTGGCTGAGAATCCAGGGAGATATAGCATTTTCCTCATCGCATCAATTCTACTATGGCCGACGAGGTATTCCAATCGCATCACTATTTCCTTTTTGGCTCTGTGTGTTTTCACCTATAGCCTACGAAATCAATGTTTTCCGCTGTTTTTCCCCTTCGTCTTCCATACTTGGATGATCTGCAAGTTTTTTGGTGGTGATCTGAATTACATGTGATTTGGCTGTGTTGATTCGGATCCTTTCATGAAATGGGATTATAGGAATCTGAATGGGTCATTTAATTGAATAGTGATGTATGATCTGATAATTATAAAACGCTGATTAATCAGATCCAAAACGCATTGAGAAGGTAGCGAACAGAGTTGATAGGGTCTCATAACTTTGATACTTTTTTTATTGGTGCTTACGGAGTGTATGGTTCAAGGGAAGGTAGGAGGGAGTTTTTGTGTGCCGTTATTTGATAGTTCTGAGGAAGATAGAATCATAGAAGAGAAAATGATGATGAACTTCCTAGTCTTACTATTTTGGAAAATTAGGAATTTATGATCCTACTGAAACAGAGATGTTCATATTTGTTAGATTGTTAGATGGAGTAGAGGTTGGAAATGGAGCATCCCCCCCCCCTCCTTTTTTTTAATAATGAAAAGTAACCTGGTTAGTTCACGGGTCCGTGTGCGGTAGTTCATGAACCATCATATTATTCACAGCACATTTGCTGAATTGGGATAGTTTTAATTTGGCAAATGAAACTGGATTATTCTTTGTTTTTTGTTGTTTCGACATTGCCAATTTCAGCAAGAAGAACAATGTTATATATTCTAGTAAATAGTAAGCGAATAATTGAGTCATTAATAAAACCTAAATGCAATGATGTTCTTTTGTACTTATTCTATTTGTATAATGAAATCTGATTTGAATTTTGTGTTGGTATACTATTCTGATTTCTGTATATATTGAGTACTCCAAATTTAGTACTCGATAGCAACTGACATCGATGGGATGAGATAATTTGTGTAAGAAGTCACAGGCTTTGAGAGTTTATTGTTTTTCTGTTTTTCGGCTTATTACAACGACACCAACGACCCAATAGAATCCCATGAAAGTAGGCTCTGGGGAGGAGGCATGTACACAGACCTTACCCCTACGTGGATAGTAGAGAGGCTGTTTTCAGGAGACCCCGACTCGAGAAACATAGATAATACATAACACCAAAAGCATAAAAAGAATTCTGTTGTCAATACTTGAACCCGGGTCTTTCGGGTGAGAGAACATTGTTATTTCAACCAAAATGACACTTGGAATAGGTGCCTGACTTAGAGTAAAATCTATTTAGTTTCACCATGCCTTACAAAGTAGAATTATCTGCATCAAACTCTGAAATCTATCAAATTTCACAAGAATCAACCAGTTGATGACATGATTGACATCTTTCTGCAGATTGAACTGAAGACCGCTCCAGCTGATTTTCGATTTCCTACAACAAATCAGACCAGGCATTGTTTCACACGCTATGTTGAATTTCACAGGTGTAACTCCATGCTTTAGTTTGCTCTACTGCTTTTCGTCTTATTGCTTGAATGCACTTCTAATACTATCAATATTTTTTTTTATGTTTTCCCTCATATCACAATACACAATTGTCAGTTTCTGCCAATTGGCAACAATATTCTAATTGAAGAACAAAAAATCATGGGTAATTGATTCCATATGGGTGTAAACAGATGTTGAATGGATCGGATGTGGCATTACCATATCCACATGTAGTTATAATAGATCTAACAGATCAAATATATGGCATTACCATCCGTTATAAATTATAATAGCTAAAAATACATCAAATACATGGATAAACGGTTACCCAAATGAAAGTACTTGCCGATCGGATTTTAAATAGATCATATCTAAGATTACCAAATCGGTATCCCTTTACCAACAAGATGGCCTTAATCGGATACAGATAATAATCATTTTAAACGTTTGCGGATATTTTCCTCATAAACGGATACATATGCGGACATTAGTTGAATTTTCGGTTATCTGTTTACAGCCTTATGATTTTATATGCTATCTTGTGATTTTTTAATTTGTTTTAAACTATTCCACACCTGGAAATTACCCCCATATCACCACCACATAATATATCGATTTTATAATCTTATTGTCAAGGTTTTAAATCTAAGGCTCGTGCCTCAGTGCCTATATGTTGCCAGGTTCATTCAAACTTAAATATTCAAAGCCCGACTAGTGTGAGTGATTATCATAAAGAAAGACATATCAGGAAATTACCATTTATCACCACCTTATGAGAAGTGTATTTCATACACTTATTGCATAGCCATTTAAAGTTAAGTCGTATACTCTCATGCTCATAATCTATTTAGGACATGTATATAATGTCAACAATTGAACTTGCATGTGATGAGAGTTTTTCCAATCCCCGTAGGCAATCTAGGCATGCAAGGCTAAAGACTATTTAGAATAGTCATATGGGTTTGAGTTCATCAGGCTCTTGTGTTATGTAAGCCTGGGGGGTTATGGTCATTAATCTCTTGCTAAAAGTGTTGACTCGCCTTATTTGCACTATGACATGTCTTATTCATTTTATATTGTTTTTACTTTAGGTGTGTGGCAGCAAAAGGAGATGATGCGGACTGTGGAAAATTTGCAAAGTACTACCGAGCACTTTGCCCGGGTGAATGGGTTAGTGAATATTGGCCAATTAAGTAATTAATTTTTTATAATAATAGGGTGACAATTTATGGTACTCAAAAGAAGTCTGACAATTTCTGTGTTCCTGTCAATTAGATTATAGATGTATAGCTAAGAGATCAGTCAAAGCATTAGGAAGTCTTGCAATATCATTGCTAATAAAATTACTCAAAATATTATCTTTGAATCGTCCTCTTCCTGAATGAGCGCATTTTTTAAGACTTAAACATGAAGGGCATTTCTACATCTAAAGTACAACGGGGAAAAATGTTAATTTAGGTTGCAAGGATTAAACTACTCCGTATTTCTTTTCCTGTACTGCGTGCCTATATACCAAACATTCCTGCCTAGGTCCCTAGAACATTTTTAGGGCATTGGAGTGGAACTGCTAGTATGTTCAATATATCTAAATTTTGTGCTAGATATTTTGGGTCTCAATAGAATTTCATAAAGCAGTGTACTAATGTGGAATATCTTCGAATATAGAGCATCATTTGTTCTGTTTTTATTCTTTCCGAACTTCTTTATTTATTGAGTTGCGGTTTACAGGTCGAGAGATGGAACGAGCAGAGGGAGAACGGAACATTCCCCGGGCCTCTTTAAACACTGGTGAATGAAATCTTAGGCCGTCGCTCTTCGCCTGGAACTGGCCTTTGTTGTTTCTGTTCCAAAGTCAAATGGATTAATAAGAAAAACGTTATCTTGGACTGCCTTTTCGAGACTTTTTTCATAATTCAGCTTATCTTTTGTTTGTTTTTTTTTACTTTGCTAATTAATTGTCTCATTGATAATGTGATGGGGGAGCACTCTATTCAAGTCTTTATTCATTCATTCATTTTGTCAGGCTTTTAAAGCCCTTTTTGGTGGTTCCACCCTATTTAAAGTTTGAAAAAAGAACCCATCCATTTCTTTTGACATTCATAAATAGTTCTGTTAGACACTGAATCGATAAATAGTTTTAACTTATAAATTTCTTACTCAGTGTTATAGTAATTTTGTACGGAGTAAAATGAATTAAAAGAGAGGGAAATCATTTTGGAATATAAAAAGGCTAAAGATAGTTTAGTGAATGATTTGATTAAAACAAAAAAACACAAAAAAAAAATTGGATTTAAAAATAAGTGGGTGTCTTTTTATGTTCAAAAAGGCGACTTGAGTTTCAAAAAGGCGACTAAAAAGGAGTAATAGAATACCGTAAATTATAAAAAAGCTGGACACGCTTTTTTTTTATTGAAATTGAATTCTACAAAATTTTACTTCAATACGGAGTCGAATTCTTTTTGTCTATCTCCAAAGAAAAAAATGGAATACCGCGTACTCCTTTTAACCGGCAAAGTTGCATTTATGACCGCATATTACTTTAGAAAATATACAAAAAAAATAATTTATTACCCCCATCTCTATTTTGATTAAAAAATGAGAATTACGATGTAAGATTCCACGATTTTCGAAATCATTTTATTAAAAAATTGGTAAATCAATAAAAAATAAAAATTACATATTAAAAAACTACGTTCAAAGTTTTAAAAATCATGAGTTGATAAAAACATTTTATTTTATCAAATAATCAATGAAAATAGCTAAATAAACAAAAGCTATCAAGAACAAAGAGAATAAAATTATAATCAAAATGGGGATGGAGGAGTAAAAAAAGTTTAATATTCGAAAATAATAAATATAATGTGGAGAATGTTTTCCGGACAGAGAAAATACCTAAAGTATTACAATACTTTTAAGATTAATTTTAAATAAAATTACTTCAAATCAAATTAAATCAGATCAAATTTATTCATATTAAATCAGATTCATTTAAAAGGAATATATCCATTCATATTACTCCGTTTAGATTACACGAGATTTTGAACGTAACAATGGATAACATTTTCAAAATGCCAACGCTAATCACTAACGTTGATACGTAACATGACCTATAATATGTCAATTTTTTTGTGTCCCCTAACCCAATTATACCCCAATGTACATCCATTCGCCTCGAAAAATTCCTTACCTATTTTTTAAAATGAATCTAGTTGTATTCAATTTACATTATAACTAGATAAACAATTTTTACTCCCCGTGCCACAAAACTTTTCTCCTTTGTTTTTTCATATGTCCTAAAAACCTTTCTCATTTAAATAAAAAAATCACTTTTCTCACTACTAATTGTTAATCTACCTATCACATTACTCTTTTTATTATAAATCTTCACATTATATCATATTTGTATTCATCACATCGAAAAGTATTTTTGAAAAGTTAATACAAAAATACACTCACCTTAAACTTTTAAAAAGAAAAATAATGTGGGACGAAGAGAGTGTGATTTGTATTTAAAATCTACTACTCCATCCGTATCGAAATAGATCACAATCTTTTTTTTTCTCTCATCATAATAAATTTTATTTATTTATATGTTTTCATTGATTATTTTTGATAAAATAAAATATTCATGTTACCTCTTGTTTTGTAGAAATTTTGACATAATTTTTTAATATGTAATTTTTGTTTTTATTAATCTATCCATTTATAAATAAAAGGATTTAAATAGTAGAACTTTTGTCTTGTAACTTCCAATTTGGAATGAAATTAGGGAGAGGAGTATAAAATTTGAACAAAATAGTGAAAGTGTAAAAAGTTTTTTTGAGGAAGTACTACTACTAATACATGCATCTCCAAACAAACAAACAAACAAACAGACTAACAAAACGCAGTCTGCAATTCAATTTTTCTTTTCTTCTTTCTTTCTTCTTCAAATTTCTCCAGTTTCTTCACAGTGCCGGTTCAATCACGACCGCCGATCTCCCGTCTCCCCAGAAATGGTGAAACTCAGCAACGATCTGCTAGTCCTCCTCAACTTCATCTCCCTCGTGATCTCGATCCCGATCATCGCCGGCGGCGTCCGGCTCTCCAACCAGTCCAACTCCGACTGCGAGCGCTTCCTCGACAAGCCGCTGACGGTCCTCGGAGTGTTTCTCCTGCTCTTCTCACTCGCCGGCGTCATCGGCGCGTGCCGCAGAGTCTACTGCCTTCTCTGGATCTACCTGGTCGGAGTCCTCTTCCTCATCCTCCTCCTCCTCGGATTCACCATCTTCGCCTTCGTGGTCACCAACAAAGGCGCCGGCGAGGCTGTTTCCGGCAGGGGATACAAAGAGTACAGGCTGGGAGATTACTCCCACTGGTTGCAGAACAAGGTCGATAAGAATTGGGGAAGCATCCGGAGCTGCCTGGAGGAGGGCAAAATCTGCCAGAAATTGATTGACAATGGCAATTCTAGTAATAATCTGATGGTTGCTGATAATTTCTACAAACTACACCTCTCTGCTCTTCAGGTCTCTTCTCTTCTCTCTCCCTATTATGTTCCAGTGTTTTCTGTACATCTAATTCATTACTCGTTTTCGAGTAATAGAATGCTCATTTTTGAATAACTATATATTCATTTTCGAGTGTTCCATTATTTTTTTTAAAAAAAAATGAATATTCAGTTGCTCAGGAATGAGTATTACGGTTCCTCGAAAATTAGTACTTGGATGTACGGGAAATACTGTACAATCGATTTTAGAAGGGTATGTATAAGTCTGTACACCGTGTATATTGTGCAGTCGGGTTGCTGCAAGCCACCAAACGACTGCAACTTCACGTACGTGAGCCCAACGAAGTGGATCGCGACGGCGGCCCAGCCCATCGAGCTTATGATGGCGGAGCCGATGCGGCCCAACAACACAGACTGCGATAACTGGAGCAATGACCCGAAGAGGTTGTGCTACAGCTGCGAGTCGTGCAAGGCCGGGCTGATCGACAACATCAAGTCCGACTGGAAGAAGGTGGCCCAACTCAACATCATCCTCCTCGTCATCCTCGTCGTCGTGTATTTACTCGGAGGTTGTGCTTTCCACAACAGACACCACCACACTTGTTGTTGTTGTTAATTACTCCCTCCGTCCCAATTTAAATCGCTTACGATGTTTGACTGAAGTTCTTTCTAAATCATTTTACATGAAAAATGTCATCGAATTAGAAAATAAGAATTACATATTTAAAAGTTACATAAAAAAATCTACAAAATTAGAGAGGTTTTTAGGTGGTTGATTGAGAACAAGTTGATTTCCGAAGCCAGATTTCGGTAGCTTTACCCGCCAATGCAAGTTTCACGCCGCAAAGGGCAGTTGAATTTCTTCATGTTAGATGTTTCAACTTGGAATTCCAAATTGGTTCTCTTAGGAGAAGATGATTTGAATAGTATAAAAATAATTGTAACAAAAAATTGTAAATTGAAGCAGATGATTTAAATTGAAAAGATGAAAATCGCTGAAGATTGTAAATATTCGAAAGATTATTTTGCAATAGAGAGTATTATACTACAACATGCACCACGGTTTCTGTGACATTCATTTTACAACAAGAGGAGCTCCCTAAGGCAAAAATGATAGTTTCATCCCCTAGCCCCTCAAACCCTCTTGCCCTACTACACGCCACCAGCCCGTGCCTCTCCTTAGGGGGGGCTGGGATTGGGTGCAGGATGGGAGGAGAGGGTTTAGGGGGTGTTTGGGGGGTCAGAACCATCGATATTACAAACAGACCTAATGTCACAAGAATCGATCCAGTACCGAAAAAAATTAAAGGATTAATTACTGTTTAAGGAGGGTCCAATTAAACACTAAGAGCAACTCCAAACAGGATGATAAATGGAAAGGTACCTGTTGAAAACTCATTGTTGCCCACTCTTAGTGGAAGCTGTAGGTAGGGTTGAAAAATTCTTCAATGTTTATTGCGGATCGAGAACAAAAAAGAAACCTGTTTTACGATGCTTAGCTATTTTATGAGATTCAAGGAAAGTGTATTTTAGTACTGAATTTACAAAAAAATCCTTTGATGTGGTGGGTAAAAGTAGGATTTGATCGATAGATTATTACTAAAAATGAACTCCCTCCGTTCCACAAAACCCTTCCTCTTTCGTTTTTTTGCTTTCCACAAAATACTTCCACTTTCTATTAAAAAATCACTTTTACCCCTACTTTTTCATACTCTATCTATCACATCATACTTTGTCAACCGCATACCCACGTTAACCATTAATAAATATGCAGTATATTTTAAATAAAAAATGTAGTTTGAATAACATACATTAAAACTAAATACGGAGTACAACTTCTGTCCCAAAGTATTTGTCTAGTTTTGACTTTTTTTAGTCAACCATTTTCAATATTTGACCTATAATTAAATAAAATACATATTGTATATTAATTAGATAAAATAAAATTTTGAAATGAACAGTACGTTGTGACGAACACTTGTGTGAGAATGAACCCTACGTTGGATTAGAATGAGCACTACGTTGAGCCTAGGGTTTGTTGTCTGAAATATGGGGAGGATTTCTTTAAGAATCTCGCCCGCCTTCTAACCTATGAAAAGAAACTAATAAAATTAAATAAAAAAATCGAAAAGATGCATGTTGAGTTTCCCTTTCAATAAACACTTTAACGTTACAAGTTGGGCGAAACATCGATCCTTTTTAGCTGACATGATTAAATTGAAGAGCACGATGTGTTAGTGATCGATGCCGTCGTGCATAAGGTATGGCTTCAAGCGAAGTACGTACAATCACACGAGAAAATGTGGTTGATTTTAACAGCTCCATGCATAAGGTGTGTGACCTCTGTTATTATAAAATGTCCCGATTTTATTTACACTATCAGCCTTGCTAGATAATAAGCTTTATTTGCAAGTCTTTTATGTTTCGCAAATTGAACTTGGCAAAACCTTTTTCTAAATATGTACTAACTTTCAAAAGTTACTACTCAGTAATATTTAACATTGTGAACACAACATTTTTGTTTTTCGAATATGACTGGAAATGGTCAATCATCATCATCATGACTCGCTTCAAGTATATTTACAAAACAAATACTTTAAGCAAACTGCAAGTCATCGTAGCACTTTTAGACTACTTTAGTTAATCAAATGCTACAAAGGGTAGGTAATAGTCATTACAATGTATTCCGTCATAAACAGAAAAGCCATGTAAAAGCGGAATTTTTCTCATAAACGGAAAAGCCATGCAAAAGTGAGATTATCTCGTTAATAGAGGAATAACCTACAACATAAAAAAAAGTTATGAGCCATTCATTACAATTAATTATAAATAAAAAAACCAAGTTTTTCTTTCTTTCTTTTTTAAATACAAGCATGTTTCTGATCTTGGCCGTATGGGATGATGTTATGTATATCCCGTCTTTCAGGTTTGAATGGGTGATGCTGTGGGAGTATAAAAATCGCAAGGCCGTGGATGTTTGTCTTATAAGAATAATTAAATGGCAAGATTTATTTCTTTTCATTAAGTAGTCTTCTTCTTCTTCTTTACATTTTATTTTCACATTTTATAGCTTTATTTACTAATTTTAAATGTATTTTAATTATGCTTGTCAGGCAAACATCAATGGCGTTGCGGTTTTTATACTCCCACAACATCACCCATTCAAACCTGAAAGACGGGATATACATAACATCATCCCACACGGCCAAGATCAGAAACATGCTTTGTCTTCAAAATGACATCCATCAAAGAATACAACAGGATCTCTGGGACATTGGGAATTTGATCGTAGCTGTCCTCAACATCCCAGGTCATTCAATATCACTGAGCGTGACCGGGTCCTTGGGGAACTTCATAGATATTCTTAATTCAAGCGGGTCTGTCAGATACTCTATCTATTACTCCAATACCTTTGTTCATTGTAATTCATGTTTCTAGCTGTTTCCCAAACGTGTTATTTAGGCTCGGCTCTTTATTATTCAATAAAGTGCAATTCCCGACTATCTAACCGTGTGTGTGTACATGTATAATTTCAGTTTCAATGATGCACGTATTATCTTGGATAACCCACTGTTCTACAACACATTACAAGGGTTAAATCTGCATGAAAAGCTCCATATTGCCCTCTTCGACAAGAAGGTATATGGTCAGGTACAGGTAGATCATGTGATCTGGAATTCAGTCGGTTACTACCTCATGCTTATGACTTGGGTTCAGAAGACCAACAATAGCATGCTTCATGGTGTGAGGACAACTGGTTATGTACCAAGATGTGATGTTATAAGGCATTTGAAAAACACTTTATAACATAATACAAATTTGCCAGTGAGTTTAATATTTGGTCAATTTAATATTTAGTTTCATTTTTGAGTTTATTTTTTTCCTCCCAATTGAGTCATTTTTATGTATTACTAAATAGGGAAGACTTCTCACATACCAAAGGTTTTGAAAAGAGTTTGGAAATATAGTGGGTGGACTGAAAGAAGCCTTAGAACAAATGCTCCGAGTGGACCCACGTTTTAATACGTAAAATTCTTGAAACTCACTATTTATTTCATTGTAGACCTATACTATATCATGTATACTAGGCAAGGAATGAAGATGCTGAGGTAAATAAGGTATATAAAAAAGAAAGAAAGAAAAACTTGGCTTTTTTCATTTATAATTAATTGTAATGAATGGCTCCTAACTTTCTTTTTTTTATGTTGTAGGTTATTCCCCTATTAACGAGATGAATCTCACTTTTGCATGGCTTTTTCGTTTATGAGAAAAATCCCGCTTTTGCATGGTTTTTCTGTTTATGACTGAATACATTGTAATGACTATTACCTACCCTTTGTAGCATTTGATTAACTAAAGTAGTCTAAAAGTGCTACGATGACTTGTAGTTTGCTTAAAGTATTCGTTTTGTAAATAAACGTGAAGCGAGTCATGATGATGACCATTTCGAGTCATAATTGAAAAACGAAAATGTTATTTTCAGAATGTTAAATATTACAGAGTAGTAACTTTTGAAAAATAGTACGTATTTAAAAAAAGGTTTTGCCAAGTTCAGTTTGCAAAACATAAAAGAGTTTTGCAAATAAAGCTTATTATGTAGCTAGGCTGATTGTGTAAATAAAATTAGGACATTTTATAATAACAATGATCACACACCTTATGGATGGAGCTGTTAAAATCAACCCATCCGGTCAGTTCTAATTTTGTTATTATGGTGGATCCATGCCACCTCCGTCAAACCGCTACGTTCGTCCGGTCATCTAGGGTGAATCCAAGTCACCTCCATCGGGCTACTAAGCCCGCCCGATCATCTAAATTCAACATCAATCAATCATATACAAATTCAACATACTTCATAATATAATTAATGGTTTAAATTAATATAATTGACATGTAATCAAATAACAAATCAGATCATAACACCAAGCTCACACTCCACTTCGTGCAACCAGAGGTGTTCATTACCATGATATATCCAAGAATTAAACCCAAAGAATGTCACTCCACCGTGACGTCCCCATCATCAAACTCTGGTCTCAAATTTATCAAATTCAATTCAAAAATCAAGGAAATAGAAAACTGATCCTACAATTGAAAAGCCGAACATAGTGCAAAAAGTCCAAGTTCAACATCCAACAGTCACAATATATACCATACACCACTTTGTCACAATTCCAAATGGAAATCACAGCAATTCACTTGCAACCTTTTTAAAGCGCATTCAAGCAAATCAAGAACACACAAATCATACGAATCTACGGGCATGTCTAAGCTTGTATAAAATAATGGATTCTAGCGGTAGAGGCACTCACCTGGGCTAATCGACGAAATCAAATTCCGGAACAGAAAGGGAAGCCGTTGTAGCCGCTGTTCTTGTTCCCGTCGCTACTCCTCACGCGCACGGAGGAAGGAGATGGACGAGGGTGGCGGCGGCTGCGGCACACACAGCAGCTACGAAGAGAGCTCAACTAATCAAGAATCCAAATCTCGAATTCGGAGAAACTCCTACTGATTCTTTCTCTGTCGCCTGGTTTCCCGCACACGCACAAAGAAGAGGCGATGACAAACTACTCCATCCGGCCATATATATATGCGTGTCAGCGTGTGGGTTGGGCTTAGCCTATTTTCATTCTAATTTGGACTTTTAGGATTTAGGGTATAGATTCTTATATTATTATGGCTTTGTTTGGGAACAGCGTTTTTTATTAGCGTTGGTGTTTTGGATAAAATTTTAATGGTATAGATTAATTTCG